TGAAAAAACCCAGGAGAAAAAGGTCCAGAAACAACCCATCCAAATCTTGTTTTTTGTAGAACAGGCTGCTGCGGGCCCAAACTGAACTGACCAATGCATAAAATGATAAAATATTTCCGCACCAAGTAACATATCGATAGTGCTAGGAGTAGCAAATCCAGGATCAGCTAACTTTAAATGCTTGGGTATGTTGAGAAATTTAATACATATTCAAATGTGTACTGGGAGTACTACTACTTATTTTTGGAACTACTAAACAGGAGATTTTCTTTGCAAAGCTGTTATGGAGCGATTGAATTTCAACATCACATTTGTATTTTAAACAAGAAACAGTTTGGTTAATACCAACGACAGAAACATTAATATTTTCTTTTGAAATTCCTAAAGTATTGCAAAGTTTTTCAGTTACAAAATTCGATTGGGACCCAGAATCTAAAAGCACTCTGCACGTAAGTGAGCTACCAGCAGAAGTCACAACTTGCACCAAAGCTGTCGATAACAAAATGTCACTATGAGCATTGCAAGCTGATGACATCGAAATGGTATTTTGATCCTCAGATGGAACCCCACCACTTTCTTCGAATCTTGACAAATTATTATTACTAGAGTAACTTGTATTAGGTTTTTCATGGGAAGGGACTTTTTTGGGATAATGCAATAGGGTGTTGTGTTTCGATTTGCATTTTTGGCAAGCACTGGATTTACAATCCCTACTCACATGATTCATCCTCAAGCAATTCAGACAAAGCCGCAAAGCTTTAGCCTTTTCATATCTATCATATACTGATAACTTTAGGAAGACCTCACAATTTACTACACCATGACCACCTTTGCAAACAGGGCACGAGAAAGACAAGCTACCAAAATGCACCTTCCTCTCCTTTGAACTATTAGACTCCAATGTTTCCAATAGCTCGGCTTTTGATTTTAGGAAGGACTTAAATTCATCCATTCTTTTTCTTGTGCTCTTGTCATTCACGAGCTGTAGAGGAATCCAATTTGTTGCACATAAAATAGATAATGATTATGTCCCAAGAATCAACATTAACAGAAAGAGCCTCCAAAGATAGAACACCCTTTACAATACCATCCAGCAATCTATGAATGTCATTTGAACTTTCCTTTGACATATTAGGAATGCCAAATAATGTTTTTAAATAATTGTTGACAAGAACAGCTTTATTGTCATACCGTTCACACAATAACTCCCATGCAATATCATAATTTGCAGAGCTAATCTCGAGATTTTGCAATATATTTTTAGCTTTACCATCTAAGGAACCTCTCAAGAAATGGAATTTTTCAATTTTTGATACCTTATCATTTTCATGGACTAATGACTTGAAGGTGTCACGAAACTCAAGCCAACTGCCATGGTCACCAGAAAATTTTGGGATAGGGATTGAGGGAAGTCTTGGACCTGCCTGTAAATAATTATTTTGATTTGCAGCGTTGAGTGCTCCTGCAGATATTGCAGAATGTACAGAGGCTGAGTGTACGCTACCATTCCCGTTTTGCGACAAATTGTGTTTATTATCGGCAACAAAATATGTATTCAATATATCTTTTGCAGAACCAACAAGACCATAGTAAAAATTTTCGAAATTTTCTCGCTCTAAAAATTGCTCGTCAAAATTATCTTGGTTTAATTCAATGTAGTTTTGATAGGTATCAAATTCTGAAAAAACCTCTATCAATTTATCCAATCTGGCCTCCGAGTCAATAAGCTGAGCATTTTGAAAAGGACTAGTATTTGAGTCATAGTTTACTAATTTGCTCAGAAGACTGTGAACAAATTTTTCGAAGGATGTAAGTTTGGCCTTGCAAATTCCACGCTTTTTAATATTTAACTTTAGCTCTTTCTCATCAGCCATTTTACAAAATTTATTATGATTAAAGGGTCAAAACTATCAATAGGGTACAAACCAGAAATCAACAAATGTACAATATTATGCCACAAATGATAACCTAACTTATTTACATCCAAAATCCTACATACAATATACAACTTACAGTGCCAAACACTGCTTCAAAATCAAGACAATATACAATAATAGCCAAATATATAATTATACCTGAGGATAATATTCACCAATAAATATTGTCGGAACCCAAAGTGAAGCCAACTTACCAATACCAAATTAGTTTTAATTTTATTAATAATAAAGGATACGAGTGCTCATTTCTCCAATCCAATAAACCAATGTCGAACAGTTCCATCAATTTCCAATATTAATTTCCAATATTCCAAGTTCCAGTTTTCCAAACTAATATTCCAATTTCCCAAGCCAATATTCCAATTTTCCGAGCCAATATTCGAATTTCCAAACTGTCAGATTCCAAATTGTGTGAACGCGGCTTACGCGATTTTCAAGATATTTAAGGGTTGCAGTACTTTTCACTAACCCTGTATATTGATCTTAATGACACAGAAAGCCTAAAAAACTTTCAAGACAAAATAGGTAGCCATCCAATGGTAAGTTAGAACCATTCAAACAAAAATTGCATCTCACTTTAATCAATAAACTGGGAAAATTTACTTAGTAAATAGGTTTGCAAGTACAGGGTGAGTCACTATATTTTGACACCCACCTGCAGCCGTAATTACAGGTGGTAGGTGAAAGGTGTAAATACAAAAGTTGTAGCATTTCATCTGAACCACCAGAATTTTCAATTAGATGGGAAAAATGAGCAACACAAAATGAGAAAATATGTCAAAAATACCCTTTATTTTCTTCTAATAGTTTTGGATATATCTGGAGTTTAGTTATTCAAAAACCTATTCACATATCAGAATGTTTTGTGAACAGGTGACAGGTAAATATATAAGGTAGAATATAACTACTGTCTTTGAATAACTAAACTCCAGATATTTCCAAAACTATTGAAAGAAACATTTACATATCATATAATCTGAATCAGAAAAACGAGAACTTTAAGAATTTGAAAGAAAATAAAGAGCATTTCATTTAAAAAAGTGAACATCGATATATTTTTTTACTTTGCGTTGCTCATTTGTTCAATCTAATTGGAAATTCTGGCGGTTCAGATAAAATGCTAACAACTGTATGCAACATCCTCTTTTAACTTAAAAGTGCATTTTAAAACGGGTCAATTCTAAGCAATACAAATTTTTAAAAGCAGCAGTTTTAAAAAGCGCTTTTAAGTTGAACAAGGATGATGCATACAGCTGTAAAACTTTTGTATCTACACCTTTTACCTATCACCTGTAATTATGGCTGTAGGTGGGTGCCGAAATATAGTGACTCACCCGGTACCTTTTGTATTAATATTTCTTGAATTTTAAGTTTAGAGATCATTGCTGAAAATATTTCGCATTTTTAAGTAGACCTTCGATTGTGTCATTGTCTTGATTATATGAACATCTCCGTTCTATTTTGTGTTCACACTAGCGGGAGTCTATTGTATGTTAAAATTGGAATAAAATTAACAACGTTGTGAGGTAAAAAGAGCATCGATGTGGATTTGAAAAAAGTCAAATGACAATGAGGTGAGGGACTTTTGATTTTTTGACCTTGAGGCTTCGCGTCTACAAAACTATGGAAAAATAAACATAGATATTTGTAGAAAATTTATTTGGCTTTAATTTAAGCACTTTAGAAAGAATGTTGTTGACAGTACAAAAAAGCCATATTCAGGCAGGCAGATATACTGGACAGACGACCCTATTTCGAGCAAACGGTCAGCAGAATGACCTGTATAAAGTTTTGATTCTAAAATATGTAATTTGGAAAACGTGTTTCAGCCAATTTGATTGGTATTAACCCAAACCATAGTATCCACTACATGACTGATTAGAGATTAAAGTGTGGTAACGTTACCGCGGTAACGGTAATTTTGGTAAGGTAATTTTGGTAATTTAACCCGACAAATTTCTTTACCGGTAATTTTCAGAAATGCTTCCTTAATGAAATCACATTCAAGCGACAATCCTTTTTATGTATTATTCGCCATCTTGTTGTGAATCTGTAACGCGCTTTTAGAGTTGGCATAAACAAATAATTATTTACCTAACAAGTGCGGAAAGTGGTGCGTTTCCGCATGCAACGGCAGTTAGCAAGCTGTCAAGGGTGGAAAAGACATTTTCCGCAGAAGTTAGGTGTAATGTTTTTCCACAAGTATTTTTGTTCATCTCATTTGAGTATCAAAAATTGATCAAAAAATCTGCGTAAGTTCTAGGTTTTCTCAATGGAAAATAGTACCTATAGATAGTAATTTGATTTGAAGTGAAAAATATGTAGTACCTATATTTTGAATTAAAACATTGTGCTCCTAGGAAAAACCTATTTCAAAAACTTGGTGAGTTCTTGTTGAAAATAATTTAAAATGTCAAAGAGTCAAAGATCTTACCACACAAAAACCCTACAAACGCATAACTCTAGCAAAAAGCCAAAAAACCAATGGAAATTTTAAAAAACCCGGGCTTTTGCTTTTGCCAACCCTGTGCGATAAATGGTTGTTTAGGTAAAAAAATCCTGAAAATATATAATCCTTGAACGTATAGTATAGTATATAGTCATAATTGTTTGTTTCATGAAATATTTCCAAAATTACCAAAATAACCGAAAAATTACCGGTTAATTACCACTGAGAAAGATCAAATGAAAATTACCAGTAAACTTCAATCTTTATGACTGATACATAAATTGCTAATAATTTAGTAGGATTTATTATTAAATCACAGGTGTGATAACAAAAAGCACAAAACTTGAATTTTTAGTCCAAAATCAGAACAATGTCATTTTGCATTTCACAATTATTATCGTTTAATATAGCAGCGAAAAATCAACTCAAACCTACTTTTTAATCACAAGGCAAATCACGCTCTATACATACAAAAAGGGTGTTTCAGATAGCCGCACCATTTAGGTCCGTCAAGGGTACTTGCATAGAATTTACCTAAAACTTTAGTTGAACATGCTAGGACATTTCAATTTTTCTATTGTAAAAAAAAAAACACAGATTTGATTCAAGCTTACCTGAATTTAAATTAATTAAGTCTAGCTTAAACCTATTGGGTTGGTACGCTTGTTTAATGGACACGCACACCATTGGATATTCTAATTCCGGAGTGATTATCATTTCGAATACGTTGAGAGGATTTGGCAAGTCGGATTCAACATGCTAAAAATACAATTGAAATACATATAAAATATCACAATTTTTACAATATTATACCTTCAACAACATAAACTTATTCAATGGGTCGTACCACTGCATCAAATAAATACCGGTGGCAGTGGCACCACAAAGGTACTTGTAGCCGTTATATGAATTCCTGGCAACGCAACATTTAAGTGTACCTCTGGTATCGGGTACCCGCGTAGTCAATGCGAATTTCCTGGGTACCAGTTTCTCGGGTATCCGATTCATGTGCAAACTGAACCTGTGCGACTGTTTACTTTGTAGCGCTAGTAGATCGTGCCTGTACAGCTGAGGCGTTTTACCTAAATAAATAATCAATGTAAAATAGTTGAAACTATATTATAATAATTGTCTTACTTCCTGAAAGTGTCATAAGAACATCTTTGATGACGTACATCCACACTGTTCGGCGATTATACAATTGGTCTATACAAGTTTCGTGGAGTTCGTTTAAATTTAGGGTGTAGATTCCTTCTTCTGCGCCGATCAGTAGGTGTTGATCTCTTGTTTCGGGATGAATCCACGACGCTGTGCAATGGATTCGGAGAGGACAACCGTTAAACACCTGATAATGATACAATAATGACTTGGTGGTAAATTGATTAAATTCCCAGGACTTTGCCTGGAAACTTATCAGGGAATTGTTCGAATTGTAACAATTGTTGTGTAAATTCCATATATTCTTCTAGGGGGCATAAGCACAACTAGCAAAAGTTAGTTTCACGAGGGTTTGTACTTACGTCATCATTTGCCTTTTTTAAAAAAAAATAGGTTTTTTTTATGTCTAAAATTTCGAACAAACATATAGTTTGTTGCACGGCACGCAGGTTTTTACTTACGTCATCGATGACGTCATAACTTAGAGAAAAAGTTATGTTATAGATTAATTCATGAAGCACGTTCGGAATTATTGTTTTGTAATACATTTTTTAACTTAGAATAGAATTTATTCAGTTATTCGAAAATATATAAATAAATTTCTCCTAAAGTGATTTTTCACTGAAAAATTTTTGAAATTTTCTTTCTGCCAGTTTTCCAGAAAAAATTTAAAATTAAAAGAATGAATTTTACTTAAAAGTCAGTTTTCCAGAATTTCTCCTGAAGTGATTTTTCACTGAAAAATTTTCAAATTTTGCTTTAATGAGATCCTCACTTTCCTCTTTTTTCTGGAATATTTTTACAATTATCCTTTTGCCAGTTTTCTAGAAAAAAAAATAAAATGTCAGAAAATGAATTTTGCTTAAAAAACTCAATTTTCCCTTAGTTTTTGTATTTTCGAAAAACTCATAATTTTCATAATTCCCCCGTAACTTTTTCGTAATTTTCCCATAACTTCAAAAATCATAATTTTTTTCGTAATTCCCGTAATTTTTTGTAACTATTTTTAATTCTTCTAATTTTTTGTTTTGTAATTTTCATAATTTCAAAAATTTGTGATTTTCGTAATTCCTATAATTTTTGTAATTTTCGTAATTCTCTTTATTTTTATAATTCCAGTAATTTTCCGTAATTTCCGTAACTTTTCAAAAATTGCAAAAAAGTGACGCTGGAATTACGAAAAATAGAAGTAAACATGAGGTTGGAAATGTTGGAATTGCGGAAAAGTTGAGTAAAAATGGCGGAAAAGTAAGTTTATAATCGAGAAAAAATGAGGTTATAAATACGAAAAACAAAAGTAAAGATTATGGAAAAATTAGATTGAAATTGCGGAAATGTGAGGCGAAAATCGCGGAAAAGTGAGGTTATATTTATTGAAAAATGAGGCAAAATTCGCGGAAAAATTTGCTGGAATTGCGAAAAAGTGAGTTTGGACTTTGAAATTGCGGAAAAGTGAAGGTGAAATTGCGAAAAAACAATTGTTAAAAGACATTATTTCTCAAATAAATTTTCGTTATTTTTATAATTTTTCCTTAGTTTTTGCAATTTTCGCAAAGCGCGTAATTTTCGTAATTCCCATAACTTTTTTTTTTTTTTCGTAATTTTCCAAAATTCATCGTAATTTTTTTGTAATTCCCGTAATTTTTCGTAACTTTTTAAAAATTATCGTAACTCTCGTAATTTTTTTGTAATTTTCCGTAATATTTGAATAAATAATTCACGTAATTCTGAAGTAATTTTCTAACTCTCTCTCTCGTAATTACTGTAATTTCTCGTAATTTCTGCAAATTTTTCGTTATTTCCCTAATTCCCGTCATTTTTCGTAATTTTCGTTATTCTCGTGTATTTTTGTAATCACCGTAATTTTTCATGTATTTTTTCAATTTTTCGTAATTCTTGTAATTTGTCTTATTTTTCATTTTTCGTAACTTTTCAAAAATTATTTTGTTTTTTTTCATAATTTGCGACATTTTTGTTGTAATTTTCCGTAATATTTAAATAGTTCATGTAATTATGGAGTAACTTCGTAATTCTTTTCCATAATATTTCGGAATTTCCGTAATTTTTGTATTTTTCATAATTTCTCGTAATTCGCGCAATTTTTCGTTATTTCCGCAATTCCCGTCATGTTCCGTCGTAATTTTTGTATTTCTCGTAGATATTTACAATTCCCATAATTTTTCGTAACTTTTCAAAAATTATCGTAATTCTCGTAATTTTGAAATGAAGAAAAAGTCAAAAATTGCAAAAAAAAAATAATCAAAAATCGCAAAAAAGTGAGTTTAAATTCGCGGAAAAATGAAGATAAAATCGCAGAAAGTAGAGAAAAAAATCGCAAGAAAATGAGGTAAGAATCGCGGAAAAATGAGGATGAAATAGCGGAAAAATAAGTTTATAATCGCGGAGGAGTGAGGGTAAAATCGCAAAAAAGTGAGGGCGAAATCGCAAAAAAGTGAGGCTAAAATCGCAAAAAAAGTAAGGACAAAATCGCAAAAAAGAGAGTCAAAAATCGAAAAAAAAAGAGCCAAAAATCGCAAAAAAGTGAAAACAAAGTTGCAAAAAAGTGGGTCAAAAATCGCAAAAAAAATGAGTTAATAATTTTAAAAAAAGTGGAAAAGTGAGATAAGAATCGCGGAAAAACGAGGTAATATTTGCGGAAAAGTGGGTTTACAATCGCGGAAAAGTGAATTTAGAATCGCGGAAAATTGATAGTAAAATCGCAAAAAAATTAGTCAAAAATCGTAAAAAAAATATTCAAAAATCGCAAAAAGAGTGAGCTTAAATTTGCGGAACAATTAAGATAAAATCGCGGATAGTAGGGAAAAAATCGCGGGAAAATGAGGATCAAATAGCGGAAAAATCAGTTTGGAATCGCGGAGGAGTGAGGATAAAATCACAAAAAAGTGAGGCTAAAATAACAAAAAAAATGAGGACAAAACCGCGAACAAGTGAGTCAAAAATTGTAAATAAAATGATGTTAAATTTGCGAAAAAATGGTATGAGAATCGGGAAAAAATGAGGTATAAATCGCGGAAAAGTGAGAATGAAATCGTGGAAAAAAGTTATGCAAGAAAAAGTAAGATAATATTTGAGTGAAGATAAAATCGAAAAAAAAAAAATGAGACAAAAATCGCAAAAAAAGTGAGGATCAACTCACGAAAAAATAAGATGAGTATCGCGAGAAAAAGTGAGACAGGAATCGTGGAAAAGTGAGGTAAAATTTGTAGAAAAATGGGTTTAAAAGTTTAAAATCGCGGGAAAGTAAGTTTGTAATCGCGAAGAAGTGAGGGTAAAATCACAAAAAAGTGGGGCTAAAATCGCAACAGAAAGAGGCTAAAATCGCAAAAATAAAGTCAAAAATCGCTAAAAAAGAATCAAAAATTGCAAAAAAAAAGAGGATAAAATCACGGAAAATTGAGGATGAAATCGCGGAAAAAATTAGCTAAAAATCGCAAAAAAAGAAAATTTCGAAAGGACCCCGCAATATTTAAATGGAAATTGGTTACCCGTGATATTTGGATGAAATTTAAATATGTCATTGGGGATGCCGTAAGCAACATTTTTTACCATGGGCACAACCCTGTTTATATGACAGGTGAGGCGTGGTTAGCTGTCAAATATTGGAATTGGAAATTTTTCCACAAAAAAAAAAATGTAAGAGGTGATTTTTTTTTTAATTTTGCTTTAATAAGTCAATTTTCTGTAACATATTTGAGATTTCAATCATAAAAAAAAAACAAAGAATTACCCTTTGCCGTTTGTACATGATATTTAGGAACATCCTGTATAATACGCCGTTAATTAATTTATATATTTGGGACTCTATCTCCAATGATTTTTTAAGGGTTGGTATTTCAATGTCACCTTAAGATATAGAATAAACATAGACATTGACAACATTGTCTGACGTCATCGATGACGTAAGAAAGTACTAAAACTGTAAATTTTTTTTTTTATATATTAGTGTTAGGTTGTGCCACTGTAGGTAGTGCTATGGTGGGATGCCGAATGGGGGTGCTAATTTTTACTTTAGGGGTGCTTAGCACCCCCAAGCACAATTTTGAACTTTTGGGTCATTTTTAGCTGAAACTCCTATTCCCACTCAAAACTCCAAAAATTCTAAAGACTATGAAAACTTTGAGACCCATGAAAATTCTAAATAGTCTGAGGATTTGGAAGTTTCAAGATTCATACATTTTAAGGTCAGGACTTTTTTCAATTTTAAAAAACACCTTTCTTCTGGATCTGTCAAGAGCAAATTCCTGTTCCCAATGTCAAGATACAATAAAAATTCTGGTAAAATTGGCTTTAATGCTGTTACCTTCGAAAAACAAGCACCCATATGAACTTTAGGAGTAGGAGGTAAACCATTACTTGGCGGTCTTGGAGGTGTATGTCTTCGCCTGTGTTTCCTAGGTGGAACTGGAGGACAAGCGACCAAATCCGGAGCGCTTGAATCATGATTATTGCTCTGTTTCGATTCACTACCTGCAAATTTTGAAATCCTCATTACAACTGAAAACGTTATTATTTTTTTTGTAATACTGACCATTACCTCGTTCAGTCCTCGAACTATCACTAAGCGACCTCTGTCTTTGGCCGTTGATGTTCATCGAATTGACCAAACCGAAAATTTCGTCCACCGAAGAGTGTCTTCGAGGGGAACCGTTTAAAGCTAAATCGTCCACAGGACTAGCTGGAGTAGTATGTATATCACATTTCGTTTCCGAATCTTGCACCGGCAATGTTGCCCTAGAACAAACCCAGTTTATACACAATAAGCATTAGGATTTAACGAAAAAGTTGTCGCTTTTTTAAAACATAAGTGTAAATCAAAACTAAAACACTCATAACTCATATAATACAGACGCTAGCTATCGTTCTGTATTTTTTTTAAAGGTCCACAAGATTTGCAGAGTCAATTTTAAGGTTTACAAAATAAGATTTTTTTTAGGTTACCAATCTTGAAAATGGCCAGTTCTTTTAAAAAAAAAAACCATCTACAGAAAAAATTCTTAAAATAAATGAATTGTTTCAAACAATGTATTTTATTTTACAGGGCGGAAAAAAAGGACTCTTTTGCAGGGCCGTAGCGATATGACTATCCCTAGGAGGGGAGACTGAGATGCGGCGCCCCCTACACGCCGCGAAGGCGAAGAAAAATATGTTTGGTGACCACATCCAAATTTCGCCAATTTTAAGCAAATGTGGGCATAATTTTTTTCAATAAAAATTAGATCAATTATGGCCGTTTGCACCGACCATTTTAAGGAAGCCTTAGCGATAAGTATTCCTTAAAGTGACATTTCTCCGCGTAAAAATGTCATGTTATTAAGGGATACTTAGCGCTAAGGCTTCCTTAAAATGATTGATGCAAACGGCCATTAATGTTGTATTGGGCGGGTATTTATAAAGCTATTCTGACATAACTCAAAGTTAACTTATGGAATTACCATGAGAATAAACGTCATTCCTGGAGTTAACTTTTAGTTATTCGCCCTTGAAAACCAATATGTATTGAGTGAGACTATATATCTATTACCAATTCAATTTTCGGATTTTCTTAAACAGTTTTCGGTAAAAATAATGAAGTGTACAGGGTGATAAATGTTACCCCCTGCTAACTTTATCATTTGACGTTTTTGACAGAAGTGTCAAATACAAAAGTTTTAAGAAATTGTCAAAAGTCTTCAACTAAGTTAGTTTTAGGCATACAGGGTGCGTCAAAAAAGTGCAGCAGTGTGAAGTTATATTTTTTTAAATGGAACACCCTGTATATTGTGCGCCTATTTGTTAGCCCCCTTTAACCTGATTTGAACGATATATGGTTTGATATGTTTATCTCTTGGTTTATCTTCAATAGTTATAGGGAAACGCGAAAATCCCTTGATAGGTCTCTCATGTTATTTTTTTAAAAATAATAATAATAACTTAGACATTTGGATTCATTATGATATTTCACCTTGTATATTAATGAATAAAATTTGAACAATAAACTGTTCATAAAAAAAAACTCTCTAAAGCTTAAATGGTATAATTTTTCTTTTTTCAATGTGAAACCTTGAAAGGGGTTTTCATGTTTTTCCCTATAAATATCGAAGATAGACATATCAAATCGTATATCGTTGAAATCAGGTTAAAAGGGACCAGCAAATAAGCGCACAATATGCAGAGTGTTCCTTTTAAAAAATTATAACTTCACACTGCTACACTTTTTTGACACACCCTGTATGTCTAAAACTGACTTAGTTAAAAACTTTCGACAATTTATTAAATTTTTTGTATTTGACACTTTTGTCAAAAATGTCAAATGAAAAAGTTAGAAGGGGGTGACATTTATAATAGATCACCCTGTAAATTGTACATTTTCAAAATAAGTACACCAAATTTTTTAAATGTTTATTTTAATTAAATTTTTTTGTTTTTGCACATTATCCATTTTGGCGCCCCTGTACCAGCTACGCCCTGGGGGGGAGGCTCCCCCGTCTCCCCCCCCCACTGTTGGCTACGCCCCTGCTCTTTTGCACACTATGAGAGGGTTAGCAGTTCAGAATATCTGTAAAAGTATAGTGCATTAATTAAGAGTATCTCCTATGACGAACTACGAAGTTCTTTCTTCGACCATTCTAAATTTACCACTGCACCATTTGACAATTTTGAGTACCTACGATGAAGTGACTGAATCTGGTTTAAATGGAACACATGATACTGTTGCGGTTATTTTTAAGGAGAAATCTGACATAGTGCATAGAAAACCAAATATTTCTGAAACCCCTGTATGTCGTTCTGCTTCATTTTTTCACAAAGAACTTCAATGTCAACAGTTCTACAAAACACCTGGACCCATTTCACTTTCAAAAAATTATTTATCCAGAATGAGTGCCGACTTCGATCCAATAAAACCAGAAACATACTTTCAATTAAGAACTGATGACTTAGCGTGGTTTTTGAGTAGAATGGATATATCTGAAACACCTCACTAATGATGAACGTAAAGAACAAATTGTTGAATTCCTGCCAGTTTTGCCCTATTCTGTAACTGAGTTTCCAACAGTGTATACTGCTCTTTGCAATTTCAAAGATATATTACAACAGTTAGATCAAAATAATGAGAAGGTGTTTATCAAATTGCCAGGCATATAATGCTGTTACGAAAAAATGAGTTTCAAAATATCACATTAATGCTTGGAAGTTTTCATACATTATATTAAAAGTACTGCTAGCATGCCTTGAGAAATATTTCAGCTAATTTGCACTTATAGTTCCTGAGATAAAATCGTGTTAAGCAATTTGGGGTGATTTATCAATTTTTCTGAGTGCCTTTTTTCATAGATTTCGGCATCAAATCTGAGAATAATTTAGTGTATAGAGTTTGGGGGATGTTGATTGACCAATAGGATACAAAATCAACAAAAAAAAATTTGAAATTTCATCGTTTTAGCACGTTTTAGTAAGAAGGTAGGTACCTTATGATTTAGATTTTGGAAAACTTTGAAAGGTCATAACTTTTTTTCTATTATAGCATAGAATAATATACTGAAAAAGCGGCAAAAATGTTCCAATATATTTTTTAAAGGTATAACTACATGAAACATTTGCAAAATGATGGAATTTTTATATCGAAAAATGTCATAGATTTGTCAAAATTCGGTTTTCACACTTTTTCACACATACCTCGCGATATCTCCGAAAGTAATTGAGATAATTTCATTATTATTTTTTTATTCTGAAGAGAATATGTTGACGAAAAGCACTAAGATAATTTTGTTTTTCTGAAAAACTCGCTTTATTCGTAAAACTGGGTAAAACTTTATCTTAGACTTTTTATGCAGTACTTTTTTCAGTAAGCGAGAAACTTTTTTGTTTTAAGGATTCCTGCCATACTATCAGCGAATGAAACACAGACATCAAAAAAGTTTTTGAAAAAAACCGCGATACTCCGCGATGCATAGTTTTCAAGATATCGTCACTTGAATTTGAGAGTTTTACCGGCCGTGTGCTACTCCGGGTAGCTTGGCAATACTTCGCGGCGCGACGCAATTCCCTGGATCTGCCTGTTTTTTGATCGTAGATGCATTTTTATGATTATTCGAGCAAATGCACCATGCAAATAAATTTTCACAATAAGTATTAATTTTATGATGGGAATTTAATGAAATAAGCAAAAAAAAAATGAGTAATTTATCACTACTTTAACGACTTGTCGGGAAGTAGATTCCTTTATTATCGATGGTATCAATTTAAGAACTACAACATTAGGAGAAGGAAAGCAACACTGCGCATAAATAATCATTGTTGCAGGAAAGACGTAAGCAACTATTTTCTCAAAAAAGGCAAAACTTGCAGGATCTGACCTATAACAAAGACAGGACCAACACTGGGTCTTGGCCTTATCCATAAACGTATTGCACATCAACGTGGAAAATAACATGTCTTTGCGTAACCACGTCACTAAAATCGCCAAGACAGCAGCACAAAAGCTAGGGGCTTTCTATAGAATAAGGAAGTTGTATACCCCATTTCAGCTTTTGCTGCTCTTATAAGGCTTAAATAAGAGCATCCTTGGAATACTGCTCCTATATATGGAGATCGGTATCCAAACACTTACTCAAGATGTTGGACTCGATACAAAAGAGAGCAGTTCGTCTTATCGATGACCCGGAGTTGACCAAGACCTCCAAAGTCTTGAACATCGGTGAAAATTGGCGGACCTATCACTTACTATCGATACTACTATGGAAGGTGTTCGAACGAGCTAGGACTTGTGATTTCGCCCAAAGTTGCATCAAACAGAAACACTCGTCAGGCACAAGCAGCTAATCAACATATAGTTCAGTTATAAATACCTAGAACATCGCTGTTTCGAGACTCATTTTTCTGGAGGGCCGATTCGCTCTAGAATGCACTTCAAAGTCACATCTTCGCCGAAAACTAGAACCTACAGCGACCAATGTCCATCGACACCTCCACACACACTCCACTCGTTGATATAGGACTTTCCTTTTGTGTGTGTGCCGACCATGAAAAAAAAGCCTAATAAATGAAGCTACAGTCATAATAACAGGTGGATTCCAGGATTCTGAACTTTGTTTCATTTGGAAAAATTAGATAATACTCAAGAAGAAGCTAATACCTTATGTGCTAACAGAACTAAAATCACTTAACACAATTCTGGTAAAATCTGTTGATATCGATGTCCTAATACCTATTGCTTATTCATGTTTACTGTACAATACCAGCAATTCCCCAAAGTCAGGACATAGTAGAACTGCATACTTTTTTATCAATAGATGATATCTGTATGTAGTAGGAAATTTGGGAAAAGAAATTTGCAAGGATTAAAATGTTGGAGTGATTGCAAATATCCAAACTGTAGTAACAGTTTGCGTATTTGCACTCCCGAACACGACGTGATTTCGCATGATGATTTAGATGATTTTAAATTTAATGTGTATATTTTGGTGTTTTTTTTTATACATAGGGCTTATAAAAAAATACCCTATGCATTTTTTTGCTAATTATTGGGGAATTTTACAGAATGAACCCTTGCTTTTTTGTTGTTAAATACAACACGAGTCAAATTTCCAAGACCAAGTTAATGGAAATAATCAGTGAAAAGCAAATATTTATGCCATTATTATTCTAAACCAAAGTTACAGATTTTAATAATTTCAATTTGTTCAAATATATCATGAAAATGCACCCAGGCTCAAAAAACAAGCAGTCGAAAAGGGTCATTTACACCCACTTAACGTAATTTATTAACGTACGAAAAATTATAATTAACGTACGAAACTGAGAAGGTGTGTGTTTACAATGAAGTTAATATTCCTACGTGTAATCACCAATAACATTAGGTCTATAAACCTAGCAGTCCTAAAGTGGAAAAAAACTTCGGGAACTATATAATAATTAGGTGCTTTTTAGGTGCTAATTAGGGCCTCTATTTAAAAATTAGGTGCTCCTTTAGTTTTTGAGAAAATCAAAAAAAAAACCTAAGGGATTACCAGGTTTATGAAAGCTAGCAGTCCCCTAATAATTAAAAAAAAATCTGTAACTCAGTTAATAATTAATCAATTCTATTTTTTCATGGACTATTTAGGAGCACCTAAAAAGCACCTAATTCTGATACAAAGAAAAAATTTGAAAAAATATTTTTTACTATAGGGGACTGCTAGCTTTTATAAACCTAGAGGTCCCTTAGTTTTTTTTGATTTTTTCAAAAACAAAAGGAGCACCTAATTTTTAATTAGAGGCCCTGATTAGCACCTGAAAAGCACCTAATTATTATATAGTTTCCGAAGTTTTTTTCCACCTTGGGACTGCTAGGTTTATAGACCTAATAACATTAATATAAAAGACAAGTTCAATCTGTCTGTCATTTGTCATTCATACCTATTATTGAAATTAACGTACGGATTTCCTTAAGTTAAAGTTGGTTCAACTTTTCCGTGCGTTAATTTTTTTTAATTCTTAGGTGGATATAAACAACTACATATATAAGTACATGATCTTCAACTTCTCTTTACTATTAATTTTTCGTAGGTACGTTAAGTGGATGTTAATGACACTAAAGACGCACGCTGCGCTAAGTGTGGCGGAGAAGTAGTGCACGGCCGGTAAAAGTCTCAACTTCAAGTGACGATATCTTGAAAACTATGCATCGCGGAGTATCGCGGTTTTTTTCAAAAACTTTCATGATGTCTTAGCTTTGTTTGTTTCGCTGATAGTTTGGCAGAAATCCTTAAAACAAAAAAGTTTCTCGCTTACTGAAAAAAATACTGCATAAAAAGTGTAAGTTGAAGTTTTACCTAGTTTTACGAATAAAGCGAGTTTCTCAGAAAAATAAAATTATCTTTAGTGATTTTCGTTAACATAATTTCTTTAGAATAAAAAAAATTTTATAAAATTATCTCAATTAGTTTCGGAGATATCGCGAGGTATGTGTGAAAAAGTATGAAAACTGAAATTTAACAAATTCATGACATTTTTCGATATAAAAATTATTGGACCTAGTGAAAAAATTTGTAATCAATCCATATTATAATTCTTGTACATTTTTCTCATCTAAGTAAAAATAAAAATAAAATTACAAAGATAGAAACACAAGGACAATGTGCTGCAATTGGCAACACGGTCTAGGTTTTCGTACTCAGGGGTCAAATGGAATCGCGCGACAGAAAGCCTGGATCCATCGGAGGGGCCCGATTTTTAACATGCAATTATCCTTCTAGTTCGTATATTATTCTATGATTATAGATAGAAAGCTGAAACTTTCACTGAATTTTATCCCAATCAAGGGACTACAACCCCTGAAAATTTCAGCTCATTTGCAATTATAGTTCCTGAGATAAAATCGTGTTAAGCAATTTGAGGTGGTTTTATCAATTTTTCTGAGTGCCTTTTTTCATAGATTTCGGCTTCAAATCTGAGAATAATTTAGTGTATGGAGTTTGGGGGATGTTGATTGACCATTAGGATACAAAATCTCAACAAAAAAAAAATTGAAATTTCATCGTTTTAGTAAGAAGGTACCTTATGATTTAGATTTTGGAAAACTATTAAAGGTCATAACTTTTTTTCTATTATAGATAGAAAACTGAAACTTTCACTGAATTTTATCCTTTTTAAAGGACTACAATCCCTGAAAATTTCAGCTCATTTGCACTTATAGTTTCTGAGATAAAATCGTGTTAAGCAATTTGAGGTGATTTTATCAATTTTTCAATTTTTCTGAGTGCCTTTTTTCATAGATTTCGGCGCCAAATCTGAGAATAATTTAGTGTATAGAGTTTGGGGTATGTTGATTGACCATTAGGATACAAAATCTCGACAAAAAAAAAAATTTGAAATTTGATTTAGATTTTGGAAAACTTTGAAAGGTGATAAACAGCTGAAATTTTCAGCGATTCTTATTCCAGTAGAGTACTACAATATGTGAAAATTTCAACTCATTTGGACTTATAGTTCCTGAGATAAAATCATGTTAAGCAATTTGGGGTGATTTATCAATTTTTCAATTTTTCTGAGGGCCTTATTAGATTTTGACTTCAAATCTGAGAAGAATTCTAACCCCCAGTATAAAAAACCAAACTGGCCATTTTTGGGCCTGCTAACTAAATGATGTACGTCTTAGATAACATAATGCTACAAAAATAATTTGTGGACCTTTCAAAAACACAAAATGTTAACTAGCGTATGGATCCTTATAGTGGTTTCTTGAAATAATATCCAGTGTACCTAATTTTCAATACAATTAAACTGAAAAATGTAAGATGTTCTAGGAAACATTTTCTCATTTTGAAACTTTGATTGTAACTTTAAGATGGCATGTTTTCAAAAGTCGATAATTATGTGTAAATTTGTTGGAAAAATCACTAGCATTTTCCTAAAAGAAGGTAACTTACTGTTGTTCATAGTCAGCAGGTCCGTATTTGAAGGTGCCCCTAGAAGGATGTAAAAAAAAAGTATGCATCACTCAAGTTAATGCCAGCCAATCAAATTTAAAAAAAATCTAGCAGAAATCCCTAAATCCCCCTAGATGACAAAGTGAAGCGGTTAGAAGCGGTAAGGTTTGTTCGAACAAAATTGTGCCACCAAAACCAAAAAAAAAAAAAAAACAAGCAAACCAAAAGTGTTTGTGGTTAATGAAAAGCGTTTTGAAAATAGAATAGAAGGTAGAGAGGACAATTACCTCATCATTAATTCCTCATCTATGTACTGCAATAGACTCCTAAATAACATAACATTGATTTAAATAATAAATAATAATGTGATTAATTAAAAAAAAAAAATTAGTTGGTTAATAATTTGGTTTAATGAAATCTTGAATGAACAATAACTACAATAACTACCCATTTTTTTTTATTTAGAAAATACAAACTTATTGCTGCTTTTTGATTGGTTTAAAGCTACACTAACTACAAAAAAAAAATAGTGTAGAGCAAGTACAACAGTCACAATAAAATGGGTAGTATATGGAATTCCAAAACATACAAAAAAAATATTGTTGTTATTTCAAGCGGCCGTTAGCAAATAAATAAAAATTATTTAAAAAAAAAAAACGCACACTGCAAATCAAAACCATCTAACCTCAACGACATTCTCAAAATTTGCGAGCCAGTCAAAGTCTTTCTATCTGGACTGAGACACAAAGAAAATTCGATTCAAATTAAATTTGTCCACAGGGAACCAATACATAAGAAGGCTAAATTTATCTAAACAAGAGATAAATTTAACCATTAATTTTTTCTAGAGGCTGCCCCTTAAACCCATCCAGCAAATACACAAAAATTCAAACTTACTTTTCTCTATTCAACGAGTCAAAAGCATTTCCAATTCCCCACTTTTTATTTTGATGTTCGACACAGTTGTGAACACTTGTAACATTGTTCATAATGTCAGTTACATTCCATGGTTTCTGGCTTTGTGCTTCTATTGCATCATTGTGTTCATCTAAAAAATAAAATTTTCATCAACAATTCATAATAATTAAAACAGTTCTTACGAAGTCTTTGAAGAGTATTATTAGCTTCGTCAATACTGTTTACGTCTACTAACTGGGAATTTTGAGGCTTTGGTCTCGTAGTCAGTCTAGATGCTATCCTTTGGGGTACATTGGCAACAGCCTTGGAAAAAAAATTATATAATTGATTGTAAAAATTTGTTACAAAAACAAATTTACCCCGTCTTCGTCAGGTTCCGCATCGGCGAACATGTGCGAAGGATTGTTCACCTTCTGCAGCAATTCTAAGGCCAGTCTTCTGCTCATATCTCCTTGAAAAAACGCGTGCTGCAAATTGGAAATTTTAGCTATGGCTGACTTAAAAGTTTTTTGAATTATTTACCTGTAACAATTTCTCTGCTGTCGGTCGTTTTTTCGGGTTTTTGGTTAATGCTACTTTGACAAAATTATGAAATACTGGACTCCTAAAAAGAAGAGAATAGTTTAGAAACTGACATTTGCGTTTTTGGACATTGACTATTTTCAGCAATGAAGTTTTTTCTTCCAAGGTTCACAGATAACTGAAATGGTTTCTGATACAATTCAAATTCAGAAGCACCACACTCAAAGAATCATATCAGTTTTTTATGAAAAATGGAAGTAAATATGCCAGCAACTTGGGCTAGTCACACATTCTTCAAAGAACTAACCCAGTTTCTACTTGAACAATTCACTTTTCTCTAGAGAATTTTGATGCTTAAAGTTCAGACAACTTACCATTTTTCCTTATCTTTCAAAGTAGGAGGTTTAAAGCCGCTTTTCGACATAAGAAACAGCGCCCTCATGGGATGCAAATCGAACATCGGAGGTTGTAGCTCGGCCAATTCGATCGCGGTAATTCCAATGGCCCAAATATCGCACAGCTGATTGTAGCCGCCTTTACGCTCAACAGCAGCAACCTAAAATTATTGTATTTGATGCTATTATTATTATAATATTATAATTAGTACCTCAGGTGCCATCCAATAAGGAGTACCAATAAACGACTTTCTTTTATTTATAGTTGCTGTTATTTGAGCGGAAACGCCAAAGTCTGCTAGTTTCACGTCGCCGCTCTCTGTCAGTAGAATGTTGGCGCCTTTTATATCTCGGTGCATTTTGCCCATTCCGTGCAAGTATGTGAGCCCTAGTAAGGTCTCTCGGCACATGTAGGCTATTTGGTGTTCCGCTAAAGGTCCTGTAACTGAAATAATAAAGTTTTTTGTCAATACATGTCATTTAATTCGATTTGATTTGTTTATCAATGGACTTGCCATTTAGCTTTTACAATCGTTCTCTTGAAACAAGGAAGATCAGTACAGAAAAGATCAGCATTACCACACTTTGAGTTTGACAGCCCACATGTTCTGGACATAAGACTATTTAGCCCATAGTTAGTTCTATGAAAATCTATTGCGAATAAATCATGCTGACAGGTTAATCTTTGAGGTACTCTAATATTGATATTACTTAACAATTCAGGGCTGCCAATCATGTCATTTACAATTTTGAACAAAGTAAGTTTATCAAATTGAGTCCTTCTAACTTTAAAAAGTGGTACAAATGTTCATATTGAATATCTTCAATGGGAATTCCCAGTTTAAAATGTATAGTTCTCAATGAAAATCTTCTATGTACCTTCTCTAAAGAATCTATATGAACATTATAATATGGATACCAGGCTGGACTAACATACTCCAACACTGATCTTACAAAACTACATTACAGTGTTCTAATACACGTGACATCACGAAAATCAGTCAGTGCTCAAAGCCTAACATTTTTATTGCTTTATTACTCATGTAATTTATATGATAATCAAACCGTAGCTCACTGTCAATATTAACTCTAAGGTCTTTTAAAACATTAACTCTTTCCAGTTGCTCATCATAGATTTCATATTTTGGAAAACTTTGAAAGGTCATAACTTTTTTTCTATTATAGATAGAAAGCTAAAACTTTCACTGAATTTTATCCCTTTCAAAGGACTACAATCCCTGAAAATTTCAGCTCATTTGCACTTATAGTTCCTGAGATAAAATCGTGTTAAGCAATTTGGGGTGATTTATCAATTTTTCAATTTTTCTGAGTGCCTTTTTTCATAGATTTCGGCTTCAAATCTGAGAATAATTTAGTGTATGGAGTTTGGGGTATGTTGATTCACCATCAGGATACAAAATCTCAACAAAAAAAAATTGAAATTTCATCGTTTTAGTAAGAAGGTAGGTACCTTATGATTTAGATTTTGGAAAACTTTGAAAGGTCATAACTTTTTTTCTATTATAGATAGAAAGCTGAAACTTTCACTGAAATTTATCTCAATAAAGGGACTACAATCCCTGAAAATTTCAGCTCATTTGCACTTATAGTTCCTGAGATAAAATCGTGTTAAGCAATTTGGGGTGATTTATCAATTTTTCAATTTTTCTGAGTGCCTTTTTTCATAGATTTCGGCTTCAAATCTGAGAATAATTTAGTGTATGGAGTTTGGGGGATGCTGATTGACCATTAGGATACAAAATCTCGACAAAAAAAAATTGAAATTTCATCGTTTTAGTAAGAAGGTACCTACCTTATGATTTAGATTTTGGAAAAATTTTAAAGGTCATAACTTTTTTTCTATTATAGATAGAAAGCTGAAACTTTCACTGAATTTTATCCCTTTCAAAGGACTACAATCCCTGAAAATTTCAGCTCATTTGCGCTTATAGTTCCTGAGATAAAATCGTGTTAAGCAATTTGGGGTGATTTATCAATTTTTCAATTTTTCTGAGTGCCTTTTTTCATAGCTTTCGGCTTCAAATCTGAGAATAATTTAGTGTATGGAGTTTGGGGTATGTTGATTCACCATCAGGATACAAAATCTCAACAAAAAAAAAAAGAAATTTCATCGTTTTAGTAAGAAGGTAGGTACCTTAACTACCTTATGATTTAGATTTTGGAAAACTTTGAAAGGTCATAACTTTTTTTCTATTATAGATAGAAAGCTGAAACTTTCACTGAATTTTATCCCTTTCAAAGGACTACAATCCCTGAAAATTTCAGCTCATTTGCGCTTATAGTTCCTGAGATAAAATCGTGTTAAGCAATTTGGGGTGATTTATCAATTTTTCAATTTTTCTGAGTGCCTTTTTTCATAGCTTTCGGCTTCAAATCTGAGAATAATTTACTGTATGGAGTTTGGGGTATGTTGATTCACCATCAGGATACAAAATCTCAACAAAAAAAAATTGAAATTTCATCGTTTTAGTAAGAAGGTAGGTACCTTATGATTTAGATTTTGGAAAACTTTGAAAGGTCATAACTTTTTTTCTATTATAGATAGAAAGCTGAAACTTTCACTGAAATTTATCTCAATAAAGGGACTACAATCCCTGAAAATTTCAGCTCATTTGCACTTATAGTTCCTGAGATAAAATCGTGTTAAGCAATTTGGGGTGATTTATCAATTTTTCAATTTTTCTGAGTGCCTTTTTTCATAGATTTCGGCTTCAAATCTGAGAATAATTTAGTGTATGGAGTTTGGGGGATGTTGATTGACCATTAGGATACAAAATCTCGACAAAAAAAAAAATGAAATTTCATCGTTTTAGTAAGAAGGTACCTACCTTATGATTTAGATTTTGGAAAAATTTTAAAGGTCATAACTTTTTTTCTATTATAGATAGAAAGCTGAAACTTTCACTGAAATTTATCCCTTCCAAAGGACTACAATCCCTGAAAATTTCAGCTCATTTGCACTTATAGTTCCTGAGATAAAATCGTGTTAAGCAATTTGGGGTGATTTATCAATTTTTCAATTTTTCTGAGTGCCTTTTTTCATAGATTTCGGCTTCAAATCTGAGAATAATTTAGTGTATGGAGTTTGGGGGATGTTGATTGACCATTAGGATACAAAATCTCGACAAAAAAAAAAATGAAATTTCATCGTTTTAGTAAGAAGGTACCTACCTTATGATTTAGATTTTGGAAAAATTTTAAAGGTCATAACTTTTTTTCTATTATAGATAGAAAGCTGAAACTTTCACTGAAATTTATCCCTTCCAAAGGACTACAATCCCTGAAAATTTCAGCTCATTTGCACTTATAGTTCCTGAGATAAAATCGTGTTAAGCAATTTGGGGTGATTTATCAATTTTTCAATTTTTCTGAGTGCCTTTTTTCATAGATTTCGGCTTCAAATCTGAGAATAATTTAGTGTATGGAGTTTGGGGGATGTTGATTGACCATTAGGATACAAAATCTCGACAAAAAAAAAATTGAAATTTCATCGTTTTAGTAAGAAGGTACCTACCTTATGATTTAGATTTTGGAAAAATTTTAAAGGTCATAACTTTTTTTTCTATTATAGATAGAAAGCTGAAACTTTCACTGAATTTTATCCCTTTCAAAGGACTACAATCCCTGAAAATTTCAGCTCATTTGCGCTTATAGTTCCTGAGATAAAATCGTGTTAAGCAATTTGGGGTGATTTATCAATTTTTCAATTTTTCTGAGTGCCTTTTTTCATAGCTTTCGGCTTCAAATCTGAGAATAATTTAGTGTATGGAGTTTGGGGTATGTTGATTCACCATCAGGATACAAAATCTCAACAAAAAAAAAAAGAAATTTCATCGTTTTAGTAAGAAGGTAGGTACCTTAACTACCTTATGATTTAGATTTTGGAAAACTTTGAAAGGTCATAACTTTTTTTCTATTATAGATAGAAAGCTGAAACTTTCACTGAATTTTATCCCTTTCAAAGGACTACAATCCCTGAAAATTTCAGCTCATTTGCGCTTATAGTTCCTGAGATAAAATCGTGTTAAGCAATTTGGGGTGATTTATCAATTTTTCAATTTTTCTGAGTGCCTTTTTTCATAGCTTTCGGCTTCAAATCTGAGAATAATTTAGTGTATGGAGTTTGGGGTATGTTGATTCACCATCAGGATACAAAATCTCAACAAAAAAAAAAAGAAATTTCATCGTTTTAGTAAGAAGGTAGGTACCTTAACTACCTTATGATTTAGATTTTGGAAAACTTTGAAAGGTCATAACTTTTTTTCTATTATAGATAGAAAGCTGAAACTTTCACTGAATTTTATCCCTTTCAAAGGACTACAATCCCTGAAAATTTCAGCTCATTTGCGCTTATAGTTCCTGAGATAAAATCGTGTTAAGCAATTTGGGGTGATTTATCAATTTTTCAATTTTTCTGAGTGCCTTTTTTCATAGCTTTCGGCTTCAAATCTGAGAATAATTTAGTGTATGGAGTTTGGGGTATGTTGATTCACCATCAGGATACAAAATCTCAACAAAAAAAAAAAGAAATTTCATCGTTTTAGTAAGAAGGTAGGTACCTTAACTACCTTATGATTTAGATTTTGGAAAACTTTGAAAGGTCATAACTTTTTTTCTATTATAGATAGAAAGCTGAAACTTTCACTGAATTTTATCCCTTTCAAAGGACTACAATCCCTGAAAATTTCAGCTCATTTGCGCTTATAGTTCCTGAGATAAAATCGTGTTAAGCAATTTGGGGTGATTTATCAATTTTTCAATTTTTCTGAGTGCCTTTTTTCATAGCTTTCGGCTTCAAATCTGAGAATAATTTACTGTATGGAGTTTGGGGTATGTTGATTCACCATCAGGATACAAAATCTCAACAAAAAAAAATTGAAATTTCATCGTTTTAGTAAGAAGGTAGGTACCTTATGATTTAGATTTTGGAAAACTTTGAAAGGTCATAACTTTTTTTCTATTATAGATAGAAAGCTGAAACTTTCACTGAAATTTATCTCAATAAAGGGACTACAATCCCTGAAAATTTCAGCTCATTTGCACTTATAGTTCCTGAGATAAAATCGTGTTAAGCAATTTGGGGTGATTTATCAATTTTTCAATTTTTCTGAGTGCCTTTTTTCATAGATTTCGGCTTCAAATCTGAGAATAATTTAGTGTATGGAGTTTGGGGGATGTTGATTGACCATTAGGATACAAAATCTCGACAAAAAAAAAAATGAAATTTCATCGTTTTAGTAAGAAGGTACCTACCTTATGATTTAGATTTTGGAAAAATTTTAAAGGTCATAACTTTTTTTCTATTATAGATAGAAAGCTGAAACTTTCACTGAAATTTATCCCTTCCAAAGGACTACAATCCCTGAAAATTTCAGCTCATTTGCACTTATAGTTCCTGAGATAAAATCGTGTTAAGCAATTTGGGGTGATTTATCAATTTTTCAATTTTTCTGAGTGCCTTTTTTCATAGATTTCGGCTTCAAATCTGAGAATAATTTAGTGTATGGAGTTTGGGGGATGTTGATTGACCATTAGGATACAAAATCTCGACAAAAAAAAAATTGAAATTTCATCGTTTTAGTAAGAAGGTACCTACCTTATGATTTAGATTTTGGAAAAATTTTAAAGGTCATAACTTTTTTTCTATTATAGATAGAAAGCTGAAACTTTCACTGAATTTTATCCCTTTCAAAGGACTACAATCCCTGAAAATTTCAGCTCATTTGCGCTTATAGTTCCTGAGATAAAATCGTGTTAAGCAATTTGGGGTGATTTATCAATTTTTCAATTTTTCTGAGTGCCTTTTTTCATAGCTTTCGGCTTCAAATCTGAGAATAATTTAGTGTATGGAGTTTGGGGTATGTTGATTCACCATCAGGATACAAAATCTCAACAAAAAAAAAAAGAAATTTCATCGTTTTAGTAAGAAGGTAGGTACCTTAACTACCTTATGATTTAGATTTTGGAAAACTTTGAAAGGTCATAACTTTTTTTCTATTATAGATAGAAAGCTGAAACTTTCACTGAATTTTATCCCTTTCAAAGGACTACAATCCCTGAAAATTTCAGCTCATTTGCGCTTATAGTTCCTGAGATAAAATCGTGTTAAGCAATTTGGGGTGATTTATCAATTTTTCAATTTTTCTGAGTGCCTTTTTTCATAGCTTTCGGCTTCAAATCTGAGAATAATTTACTGTATGGAGTTTGGGGTATGTTGATTCACCATCAGGATACAAAATCTCAACAAAAAAAAATTGAAATTTCATCGTTTTAGTAAGAAGGTAGGTACCTTATGATTTAGATTTTGGAAAACTTTGAAAGGTCATAACTTTTTTTCTATTATAGATAGAAAGCTGAAACTTTCACTGAATTTTATCCTTTTCAAAGGACAACAATCTCTGAAAATTTCAGCTCATTTGCACTTATAGTTCCTAAGATAAAATCGTGTTAAGCAATTCGGGGTGATTTATAAATTTTTCAATTTTTCTGAGTGCCTTTTTTCATAGATTTCTGCTTCAAATCTGAGAATAATTTAGTGTATGGAGTTTGGGGTATGTTGATTGACCATGAAATTTCATCATTTTAGTAAGTCATACTAAGAATAAATCCTATCACGAACTGATTACCATTGCAGAGTTATTAACATGGTGCTAATTGGCTTGTATCTATTACACTTTAGAATATATGTCATGCCCTTATTTTGTAGTTTTTGTAATTTTGAAGTATGATATCACAAATTGAATTTCTATACATCTCGAGTTCAATTTCAGTTTTAGTAACATGTGCTTTTTTGATATTTTACTCGTATCTATCCAAGCAATAATTGGACCAACTTTGAATCTGCTACAAAATTTTTCAAGGAAGTTTGGTTTTTTCGTCAAATTTGGGGTTGAATTTTCCCCCTTCAACCCCGAGATAAACATGTGCTTTTTTGATATTTCACTCGTATCTGTCCAAGCAATGATTCGACCAACTTTGAAACTGCCTTTAAGAATTTATAATAGTGAAAAATTAGAGTTTCCCATGCATCTCTAATTCAATTTAAGCTCTAGTAGAGTCGGAAATAGGATTTTCATAATTCTCTACTATTCTCTAGTCTCTAGATTAAATTCAACTCCATAGGAGGGCCAATTATTATAGAATTTTCAAACCTCTGAGTTTGAAATTCAGATCTGAGAGGGTCAGAAACGAATTTTTCAAACCGCCAAGGTTCCAACTTTACCTCTAGAATTATCAGATGTTTTAATCAAAAGTCCTTAGGTTTTCAATCAGCAGAGGCTTTAGAATCTTTATTCCAAAATCATTAAAAATCAGTTACAAGAGTTACCAATCCTTATTCTTCAATTTTGAAAACTTTTGTGTAGAATTTTTGAAGTCTTTATATTTTTCAGCGGGTTTTAAAAAAAATTTTAGTCTTTGAGGTTTTAATTCAGGAATTCTGGATTCTGCATCCTCAAATTATGAGAATGAATCTTCCGTTTCAATTTTTTGGAGACACTTTCAAGTAGTCTTTAAGTCAAGGGCCTTAGAATCTTTTCATTTTTCTGCATCAACAGAAGCTTCAGTGTTACATCTGAAATTAGTGAAATTTCTATTTCAACATCTAAAATAAAGTGTCTTCAGAGTTATCAGAAGCTCGAATGTCTTTAGTTCAAAGTCATAAGTCTTGAGAGACAGTTCAGAGGCTTGAAGATGTTGGAAAATATTTTGATGCTTTAAATTGAAAGCCTTGGATTATGTATTTCAAATCTTCAAGATCCTCTGAAACTTCAGTGTCACATATTAAATAAGCAAAGTCTTTGCAATCATTTCTAAGTAGGTATTCAGAACCTTAAAAATCTTTCAAGTCATTGTTGTTGTGTCATTAAAATCTTAAGTATTCAGGTATGGACTTCAAGAACAGAACTCCTAACAATAATATTAATTGGCACTCAATTACCAGTCAGAGCATTTTTGAAGCAATAATGAGTATTCCTGAGTTACTTTTAAAGAAACAAGTCTGTACACTTACAAAACCAATCACAATTTTATTTAACAATTCTATGATTGGTTCGGAATACTCAGAGCTCTGGAAACAAAGCTTTTAAGTGCTGAATTTTAAGAACAGAACATAATAAATTATAGAAGCATTTGTACCTAATCTGGCATTCCAAAGCTGCTGCATAAGCTGATATGTGAGCAATTGACTGATCGATGAGGCTCAGCATGGTTTTACAAGCGGCAGTCATTACTGTTGAAGGCCTTGAAAGATAAGAATCAAGTTGATGCTGTCTATACAGATTTTTCCAAGGCCTTTCACAGTGTTGATCATGGTTTGCTCTTTGGGAAATTGCATCAGTTTGGGTTCCATTCAAGCATAATTCGATGGTTTTCTAGTTCTTTTACTGGATCGGTGGTTTTTAGTCTAAAAATATTTAAGCAACATCTGGTGTACCGCAGGACGGCCACTGTTTACCATTGCTTTTCAATATATATCAATGATATTACACAAAACTTTCATCATAGTATACCATTAGATTTTGCAGATGATTTCAAATTTTTTAGAATAATAATGATTCTGATACTAATTGCAGGAAGATTTAAGTCGATTAGTTACATAGTGCGAGGTAAATAAGCTGAAGTTAAATGTTGACAAATGTTATATAATGTTTTTTTAGATTGTGGTGGTGCAGTCCCCTAAGCTGTTTTGTTTTAAGGAATTGTAAAAATTTCTCAATTAGTTCTGCTAAATGTGTTTACACAAGTTTGGTGGGGTCTAAATTGGAATACAGTTGCATTGTATGGTCACCCTTTAATAACATTAGGAAGATGTCGGTTGAGAGAGTTCAGAACAAATTTTTAAGGTTTTGTATATATCGGACTGGGGTTCGAGTGATCGATCACAACTATGAAGGCACAAGAATGTCTTAAACTTGAGTCCCAGGAGTGTCGTAGATTAAAGATCGTATGATCTTCTTAATTACCACATAGATTGCCCTCAATTGCTTGAGCAAATCAAGGTTCATGTTCCTGTAAGACACAAATATCTATTTCATCTTGATTTTCACAGAACAGAATTTGGTCTGAACTCTCCTCTAAGTAGGAGCCTCTCACTGATGAATCAGAATAGTTTGGAAGTTACTGGAATAACTTAAGGCAGGTTTATCAAATTGTGTGATATAGAGTGGTTGTGTAGGAGTTATGATAGTTGCTATAGTCAGTAAATTTTTGGGTTTCTTTAACTTCAGAGATAGGAAATTATAATGAATTTTCTTATAGGTATTAATGAGTATAATTTTAGCTGATCACATTTAGTTAGTTTTGTAAAAATAATATATTTTGTTGAATTGTAATATTGAGGCGGAGATAGTCCCTTCAATAGATAAATTTGGAAATTACTGGGATAACTAACTGCTGAAAGCAGGCTTATTGAGTTATGTGATAAGGTGGTTATGTGTAGGAGCTAGAATTGTTACATTATTGAGTTTCCTAAGCTTTTACTTTTAATGGGGTAATCCCGTTAATAAATAGACAAATACATAAATAAATAAATAAAGACATTTCAAAATTTATGAAAATCATCAAAGTTGTTAGTCTTCCAAGGTCTGTTGAAGATCCTTGAAATTTTTCCAGTTCTTCAATTGAAATCTCTGAGAATCTAGATTTTTCAGTGTCTTTAGAATCCTTTAAAACTTTGACTTCTTGAATCTCCATTATAATTTAAAATTTTCAAATGAGTCTAAAGCTCTAAGGCTCAGAATCAAAAGCTTTAAAATATCTTGAATTTATACCTATACATCTAGAACCACAAAAAAAAATATAGCATCAGGAAGTTTGCAATCCAGGGCTAAATAACACACCAAAACATTCTTCAAATTAGTTATTTTATTATGCGAATTAAACAAATACATTAATTACAGTAATGAATGAAAAAACCTCCTACAAAATTGTTAGGTATTTATTTGTAAACAAACCATTTATTTATTAATAAAAGCTGTCTGAAAAAACTGATAGAAAAACCAAAAAATTAATTATAGAAGGAAGTCTGGGTCTGAGCAAAAATATATTTTCAAAAGATTGTTAATAATAATCGATACAATATTTTTTAAAAAATCAAATTAAATCTATAATAGCTTTTTAGCTTTTTGATAAAGCGTATCTACAACTTTGCTCATATTGTGAATAGTTTCTAATGCCATTTCATATGATTTATCTACTGGGGCTTCGTCAAACACAATTAGAACACCTTCGCCTTGATCCAAAATCCCATCAAATTTCCCATCTAAGATAATTTGTGACAATTTTTGTTCAACTTGTGCCATGGACAGTTTTATAGCCTTTGCTATATAATCAACTTGGACTCTACTGTAAGGCTCTATAATTCTCAGTAGGTTTTGTTCCAACATGTTATCATATAAAGTGTCCAAATGAGCCCTAACTATGACGTCGTCTTCGAGTTCTGCTTTGTATTGTTTGAGTGCCACTTGGAAATCAGCCAAAGATCTTTTATGGGAAGCTTGAGCCACAGCTTTCATTGCATCAATATCCCTGCCTGCGTATTTGATGGCCAATTTTTCGCTGACAATTTGCTGAACATCTTCAGAATGATTTAGCATAATTTTTGATAAAAGCATATATTTCAAGGCTGTTAGTGCTTTTGATGATTCTACACTGTCGAAACCTTCAAATGCCTCATAAAAGTATGAATAAGCTGTTTTGAAATCTTTCTCATCTGCTGCGTGTAATATACCTGATTGAAGATCTAAAGAGGCTTGGATTTTTGGGGGACAATAAATTGTGTTGGCAGTTGTACGGGCTGAAGTCAAAGCGGCTCTGGCTTTAGGAAGATTACTCAATGCATGATAAATTTTACTTTCTAGTAGCTGCACTTCTACAAGTAAATTTTTGTCGTCCAACTTCTTCAGCTCCCACAGTAAAGTAGAACCAAGCTGTAGGGCTTCACTGAACATGCCAGTGTCGAAATACAGTGCAACTAACCTGGCTTCCAAAGACTGGCGAAGAAAGGTTCGTTTTTCTTCTTTGGCCCACTCGATGCATTCTTTACAGAGTTGTACTTCTAGACCGGTGCCAGCTTCAAGATCCAAATAGAAATCGATGAGAGATCGGACGAGTTTTGCCGCTTTCGCTTTGCTGATTTCGCTCAGAAAGGGGCGCGTTTGTTTGATCAAATCGGCCAGTTCTTTGGCCTTGCCCTCGTTCTTGTACTTTTCGCCGAGGTTGAGGATGTCCTGCTCCTTGTTCTGGATGTTTCTTTCGTCATTCTCGTCGTTTTCTTTGTGTTTAAACAACTCGGACCCTGGTCGTTCGAATAAGGTAGCCCCGGACATTTTGTCCAAATCAATGGTTTGTTTGGCGATTCAAGGATACTGCACACTAAATAACTGTTGGCCGCAACTGTACACTGTTTATTGGATCGTTGGAAAATGAATTATTTGTATTTATAGTAGCGGATTCTCTATTTTTTTCTTGTGGAATTTTTATTTTTATGTGGTGACTTGTGCTTTTTTCGGTTTGTCAATATGCGCATAATCTCGAATATGTCAACGTCAAGCAATGTTGCCAGCGTTTGAGAGTATAAAAATGTAAAGTGCACTAAGCTTCGAACAAGAACCATGACCCGGATCACAATGCTGTGCTCAATATTTTTTACTCCAGTGGTTCAGGTATTGTTCTCGGAGTAAGATTTTTGCGTTTATTGTTTGAAACTCCAAAAAAAGTGCCACTTTGTGCCCTGGAATTTTTGGAGTAAACTTTTGTTACTCCAAAAGTTCCAGTTCATAAAAGCTGGGTTCGGGATGGCCCAGCGGAGCTCGAGTAGAGTTGGAGTGGTGTTTTTATCACGTGACCAAAAAGCTTTTGGAGTGTATTAGTGAAACCGAAGGGCCAAGGTGCATTTGGAGTTTCCTAACTCAACCTACAGTGACTCTATAACCACAGTGGCGACAATTGCTGTCTCATTTTTGATTGGTTCTAAAATTCCATATATTTGTATTGAAAACGCCGCCATCTTATTCCCAACCTTTTGTTACTTTTGATTTTTGAATATGAATATATGGAATTTAGGTGAACTTCCATCATAAATCATGGAAAATAACGAATTTGATGGACCTAATAATGGTGATCAAATACGTCGATTTCAATTTTTTATGATAGATGTCCATTTGAATCCGATATATTAATATTTAAAAGTAACAAGAGGTTGGGAACAAGATGGCGACATAACCTCTATTGTCGCCACTGTATGTGAAGGTTTATTTAGCCATTGTAACTCAACCTATCCCACAAAATGACAAGTATTATAAGGGCGGGTATTATAAAACTACTTTAAGAGTTAACTTTCAAAGCAGTTTTATAATACCCGCCCTAAAAACAACAAACGTTTTTCTAGTCTTTTCTATGAATTTTTGGTATTTGGTGCCTGTTGCTTGCATGTCAAATAAGCAGTTTAAAATCCATTCCATTCCATCCATTTACCAAGAAATTACAGATTAAATATTGATTTGTTGACTATCGATTAGTCGAATAGTCGATTGTCGCAATTAAAAAAATAGGATAAATGACACAAAATCTCGAAAACGCACACAGTGCGCATGCCCGCTCCGGCGCTTGCTGATGACGTGGTGGTGCTTTCAGAGTCAGCTCTTTTGACTCCCGCACGTCCTTACCGAACGCATGTGGAGTTACTCTTTTAGCTCAAAATGACAAAACCCGAACGCATCGGGAGTGTTTAGTGCACTTGGAGTTTATAGAACAGTCATCCCGAACCCACCTAAAGTGGCACTTTTGGAGTGGACAAAGGCGGGAAATAAAATGATTTTAAAATCGAATTTTTAAACTGCTGCGAAAACGCGCGCTAGGAATGTGACGTCAGAGTCCCGAAAATGAGAGGGTGCCGAATTTCTCATTAGTAAAATCATTCCAAAAAATGACTGCGTCGAATCGTACTACGAAGCGGAAACTCAATATATTTTCCGTATATGTACATAATATTTTTACCAACTTCTTGGTTTGGTGTCTCAAATAGGTATATATCAGTTCCTGAAAAATTAGAAAGTTCTCGTGCCTCACACGCTACACTAATAAGGTACCGCTAACAATACGGTATTTCACATGGTATTTTTGAGTTCTCGGACACGAAGACACATAAATCCTCTAATCCCTTATAGGGCATGTCCATGTCACAGTTTAACGTCACTAATGAGTTTGACAATCGCCCTGAGGTAAAACAAATCATTTATTTACATTGGTGTAGATTAGGCCAGTTATGTTTTATGCGATTTTCACAGCTTTTTTGCAAATTTTTGTGTTATTTTGTGTTAAAAAAGTTAAAGTAAAGTGTTTATGTTCCAGTCTATGTGGTCTTTTATCCAGAAGTTTGCTAGGTTTTTCTATAATGGATTAAATTCAGGGTTTTATCAAGAAAAATCAAAACCAAGTGTCACAAGAACAAATATATAAGTATAGTTACTCTATAATTCAATCTATTTTTCTGTCAGATCTTCTCTTTTAACAACATTAATCAATTTTTCTCTTCTTTCTTGAGCTAACAAATCAAACCTCCCATTGTTATTTAAAATTGATGGAAACCTATGGAAGGATATTGTATCCCTTGCGCTATACTGCCAGAATTAACAACTAAACAAACTCTAGGCATGTCCAAGAAACTTCTGGACCACACAAAAGGTATTTAATTAAAAAAATCTGACTAAAAACCGTAAAAACCACTGTAAATATATCTTTGTTTTACCTCAAGGCGACTGTCAATAGTGTCAAACTGTCAGATCGTGTACTTGCCCTATTCTGTTTACATTTTGACAACTATTGAGTGATCTAACCCAACTTTTTTTTGCTTGTTTTCTAACTTTTATTTATCCTGAAGATTCCTGAGCTTGAATAATATTCCCTTGGTGTTTTTATGGTGGAATTATTAGAAGTTGCTGTTTTTGCAGACATAAATGGAGCGTAAACTAGTTTTGACATAGCATAGCGTTACGGTACGGCCTCCGCTAAGTTCCCTTAGATAGCGGGCTCCGCTAACGCTAATACCGTAAGAACTGTCATACTTAGGGACATAAAGCTTCCGTATTTTTTGCTCGGTATCCGTATCGGTATCGTACTGCGCATGTGCAGAAGCGATACGGAGGCCGAGATACCGTACGTACAACGTAACGTTACGGCCCTCTCGCGGTATCCGTATCGGTAACGTATCTTGACATTCCTGACGCATGTGTCAAATTTTAAATTAATATAACCTCACTTTTCTTCCGGGTTGATTTAATTAGGCAATTCAAACCACGTGACATTCAAAATGGCGTGGCGGCCACACATGGGCCAAAAAACACAAAAAAATATCTAGTTTCTGTCCGAATTAATAGTTTAGGTACCTAGTCTACAAATATTTTATTAAATAATGAAAATCAAAGTTGTAAGCAAAACTGTATGCAAAATAATTTAAAATACGCATAAAAACATATTCAAAACAAGCTTGCTTGGCCGCCACGCCACATTGAATTTTCCTTTTTGACAGATGGATTGAATTGCCTAATTTGTTTAGTTTATGTTTATACTTTCTTGAGTTTCTTGTGCGTTTAGTGCTTCTCTGTCGCAAAAAAAATAACAATTTTAAGGTTAGATATAAAAACGCCGGAGTTTTGGGACAAACATTTCCAGGTTATGAGATGCGTTTACGTTTACCGGAACAGGGAGCGCTTTAACAGCCTTTTCGCTTGTCAACGTATCTAGTTGCGTTACGGATACCGATACCGATACCGGCGAATTATTTCAAGTAGCTTTATGTCCCTCTTGTCAAATAGCGTTACGGTATTTGAAATTTCGACGGCACGAGAACTCTCTATTGTCAACTTACGGGACATGGTTTTTCTGAATGCTGATAATTTATCTGTCACCAAAAAACCCACGTCGCAACCGCTTGTTACCGACTGGTGATGGTGAGTAGAAGTCTATAAGGATATTTTAGCGAGTAACCGTTTGTAACCGTGTTATCACGAGTTATAACCGTACGGTTATTACCCTCACCACTGGTGTTCTGTCAAAATTACCCCCACCACAGTTTGTTAATAAACCTCAAGGTTGTTTGAGAGAGGTGGGTTGCCTGATAACTTTCATGACGTCATCTCTATGCCTGAACATAATGCAAATCTCCATAAGGCACTCTAGATGCCTCATCAAGTTACCCATTACCAGACAACCTGTAACTTTACGAACCTTGATTAAAGTATAAATCCCTTTTTCGCAAAAACTAACCGGTTATAGAAAACGATAATACAAAAGTGAGGTTATAGATACCTATTAGGCAATCCAACGACCTGTCAAAAATGCTGGTTAGCACACAATAATCAAAAAACATATGGCGAGATTATCAATACAATGATCAACACACATAAATTGAAATTGAAAACTGTCAAAAATGTACTACTCTAGGCACCTATAAAATGAAACAAGTTCACATATTTTTTCACCATTAAGAAGTATATTCACTAGGTCCAAGGGAACACAGACGGTGTAATTCTCCCCTTCATTGTTTAAAGTTACTTCAGTTAAAATTTGATGATTTTCTGCCATGTTGGTCTCCCGGATCTCCAAGACTCCAAGGAATGGATCGGATATTACACGTTCTACCTTACTGAGCGTTTTTTTACCTTTTCTGTTTAAACTAACAACCAGAAACCCACGTTCACGTCCCGCAAGGTCTGTTTCTGCAGAAATCACAAACCAGTCAGAGTGAATTTCATTGGTTGAAACTAGTTTTTAACCAATGAAATTCACTCTGACTGGTTTGTGATTTCTGCAAAAACAGACCTAATATTTTCTAATTTTCGGGTTTGACGTTGGAGTAAGGTATATAAACAAACCCAAACGCTCATATTTGAATGAAATCGAACTTTCAAATGTTCTATAATCGCCAGCAACCCGTTCTACATAGGTTACTGAATTTAATACCGTGTTATAAATGCGTGACGTCATTGATTTCCCCTATTGACGTCATAATAACCTTCCCCTATATAGACCTGCTAATGGCCGGGGCTCCCGTGATTTTAAATTTTATGCTACCATCAGAAATATCGACTTAATTATATTGAAATATCCAGTGGCGGAGGTTTGATCATTGTCGATTTTCGTGTACGAGTTGCAATATGATATTCTACTTTCAAAAAATTCCGCATGCATCTGGGTATTTTATGAATGAAATCAGCCATCGCTTTTTTATGCTTCGTAGTTTCAGATTTGTTGATCAGACAATAGTTACATCTGTGGTTTTTTTTTTTAGGGTATAAGTATTCACAGATTACGTCAGGCTATGTTGTATCCTTGTCTCTTATTAACAAAAAGACAAAGATATCTGTTAAATGTAATAAAAATAAAACCCGTTATTTCACAGCTCACTACCAAGAACCTATTTGCGTCCTTTACTATGCTATAAAAAAATAAAGGATAGATATAATAGGTGAACTATTGCTAGGTACTTAATACAATCAACAATGAACCTAAATGTTTGGCTACATGTTGCCGCATCTTTCTTAAAATCCGTATCTTTAGAAACCATTAGCAATAAAGATGATTATGTCAATTTTTACAAGTATAGTTGTGAGCATCAAAAGTGGGACACCCGACTGACAGGTCTTATCATTTTTCGCTATTTTGGTTTGGGTGAATCAGTCTTTTCTGCGCAACGAATTTTTTGACAAATATGACAATCCCTGTAATTGCCGACGGTGTACACCCTGTACAGGGTGGTCCAAATTGGACACTTTCTTATGGAAACACCCTTTATTTTTAGAGATAGAAAAAAATGAACCCCCCACTCTGAGGCTCAAATTTCATGAAATTTTGATTGGTGCAAACCGCATTTTGATATCTTCAACCGTTTAGCCGCTAGAGGGCGATTCTCGATTTTGAGCAATATTGTGAAACCTTCATAACTTTTTTGTTTATGAAAATAATTGATTTCCGTAAAGACTTTCTAACAGCACTTTTTTAAGAAGAATTCAGTGACGTTCTCAGTTTTTTTCTAATTGACTCGGATTTCGAGATATTGACCAAAATCCGATTTTTTTCAATAGAACACCCTATATATTAATAGCTTATTGGAAAGCTCTGCTTTTGCTGATTTCAATGATATAAAGTTCAATAGGTTTATCCCTAACAGTTTTCGAGAAAAAAAATATTTCTGTTTCTGTCATAAGAAACAATGTGTTAGAGAGAGACCTTTATCGTTTTCCTTACAGATATAAAGGCATTTTCCAACACATTGTGTCTTATGACAAAAATCGAAATAATTTTTTTCTCGGAAACCGTTGGAGATAAACCTATCGAATTTTATATCATTGAAATCAGCAAAAGCAGAGCTTTTCAATGAGCTATTAATATATAGGATGTCCTATTGAAAAAAATCGGATTTTGGTCAATATCTCGGAATCGGAGCCGAATAGAAAAAAGCTGAGAACGTCACTGAATTTCACTTAAAAAAGTGCTTCCAGAAAGTCTTTACAGAAATGAATTATTTTCATAAATAAAAAAGTTATGAAGGTTTCACAGTATTGCTCAAAATCGAGAATCGCCCTCTAGCGGCTAAACGGTTGAAGATATCAAAATGCGGTTTGCACCAATCAAAATTTCATGAAATTTGAGCTTCAGAGTGGGGGGTTAGAAAAAATCAGAAAAAAACCATAATATCATAGTTTTAGATATAGCAACAAGCACATGAATATCGGCTTTTTTTGAAGTGAAACTTCTTAACGTGCGCTTGGATTGGAATTTCAAGGCCGCGACGCAGGACGTACCGATACGAAAATCCGTCACGATATATTTATCTACATGGCGTTGCTGAACGATGTCAAATTTCAACGTCACTGATATACAGGGTGTCCGTTTTAAGTGATTCCAGTATTGCTATCTCTGGAACGGTAAGAGGTTCGAGGTCGTGTAAATTAGACATTCAATTAGACAAAAGTAGCAGATTTTAGGGTCCATGGAAGGTGAGTTCACAAGGTTGCCAAATTTTTGTTCGTTTCTGAGATATAAGGGAAAATTTAGACACAACTAAAAGCTCTGTGAAGATAACAATTACGCCATTTTGTAGAGAAAAAGAAATCTTGAAACTATTGTATTGAACACTTTTTTCTAAGGTTGATAGATTTTGAAATACTCATTAAATAGATTTTAGGCATTTTTAACATTTCTCCTTATATCTCGGAAACGAACAAACATTTGACAACCGTGTGAACTTACCTTCCATGGACACTGAAATGTGCAACTTTTGTCTAATTGAACCGATCTTCTTCCTCTTACCGTTTCGCAGATAGCAATCAGTGGTATCACTTAAATAGGACACCCTATAGATGGATGACAACTATAATTTTCTGACGTTTAATAGCTCAATAAAAGATGACGCCACAATAACTAGCGTAATCTAATCAATAATTTGGAGTGAGTAAATCCCATTCACGGTCTCGAGATTATAATAAATGATTCGGATTATACAGGGTGTCCAGATATTCGACTATTCGACCGACAACGCTAGACAAGTGACAAAGCTCGAATTTTCATACAAATTGAGTTAGGAACATACAGCCTAAAGAGCTCAATTTTCAAGATACAGGGGGTCTAAGTTTTATTTTATTTTCGATTTTTGTCAATTATTCCTCAATGAAACGACATAGCGATCCGAAATTACGTATCGGGGAGGCGTGAAATATGTACATAATACTTTGTCGGTCGAATATCCGGACACCATGTATAAAAGCAATTAGGCACTAGCTGACGTCACACACAACCTCACTTTCGTTGGGGGGACAAACAAAGCGTTTTGAAAGGTCTATTTAACACACAGGCACTAGCTTGTCACCGATGACATAATGTGACTTTCGATAGGGGGACAAACAGGTCATTGAGGTTATGTGTGTGACGTCAGCTAGCATCTAATTCCAGAACAAATATTTGACGTTTTCTTTTGTTGAAAAATAGCTCTAGTGCAGTTCGAACCGACACTTTGGAACGAGATTCAAATGACTGTTGACCTGGTTCGCAATATTTAATTTCGTTATCAAATGATAGGCAATTTTTCGCGAGGATAATCAAGCATAATCTGATTATGCTGGGTTATGGGATATGTTAATTGTGTCATACTCCGGTAACTCCATTCCCATCAAATTTTAGGCCTGCGAGTGACGTCACTATCAGCAGCTTATAGTGACGATGTCACCCGCAGACCTCGATGGAATGCTCGCGATTCAGGTCAGGCTGTTCTAGTGAGTTGATTTTTTCGTCGATTTTAAATCTAGAAAAGGTGATTTGAACTGCGAACAAAGAACTAACTCAAACTCTCAGGCGTTTTTTTTTTTGGTGAAATGAGTTGGTGTAAAAAGGAGTACATTTTTGCACCAATAGAGCAAGGCTGCATCAAAAGAAATCAGTATAATTTTTGGTTCTGATCTGATCTGGATCAGGAACTTCATATTTTTCTTGTCCAGCATACCATAGTTGAATTCGGAATGGGATTTTAGTGCAGTACTAGTGTGGTGTAACACCGAATACACCATCATTTTGTACTGAGTAAACAGTGTCCCACCATCTTCACACCATTCGGACACCAAATTATTTCCAAACGCAAAAAAAGTGTACACCAAACACTCCTCAATCAATGAACGCCATAGTGTCAAAAGAGTAAAAAGTGTCGACACTTTCTACCATTCCGAACTCACCTAATGAATAGAAGAATTACAAAATTTCATCTCAAAAGCATACTTTTATTCATCCACTATAAGCATATTCTGGCATAATCCATCCATTGTTAGATTCACGATCTTGGACCTCTTCCTTTTCACTTGAGCTATCTGTTGCACAATCTTCAATTTCCTCAATTGGCTCTTCCAGAGAGATCTTGGACTGTCTTTCCTGCTCCAGCTTATTGAAATAATCGGCCGCAAAGGCAATAACGTCGTCGGGCTTTTGCAAAAGACATTCTATAGTGAAATCCAACATGACTTTTCTGAACTCTTCTATATTTTTTGGTATCGGTATTGGGTTGAGAATTTCAGATTCTTGTTTTGATGGTTTGCGGTCTTTTTTGTCTGATTTATTGTTGAATTTCACAGAATGAGACATTTTTGGATTTTGATGAGAAATATTTTGACAAAACTTGTTGGGGTGAATGAAAGCACTTGGTGGAATAAAGCTTGGGCTACACTGATTGGCCCCAAATAAATACTAAAGTTTTCAACTTCGACCATTGAACACTCTCTCTCTCTCTAGACTAATAACGATAATAATGTGCTATAGAATTTGTTTGGTTCCAGAATGAGACCAGGCCCTCTTTCTCGCACTTATGAAAATAGAATGTTTATAAACCAGTCTGTTTTATGTTTTGGGTATCAGAGAGCTGTGTGATTTTTATACAACACACCAGGTTCTCGAACGCAGTCAGCTGATTTGTCACAAGAAAGGAGAGAACACAAAACAATTACTACGTCATTGCCAGACTGTAAAATCTTTCTTTAGAAGTAGGTACGTAGTTCCATTTAAAACCAAATTGAGTCGTGATAAAAGGTATTGTTGTTTTAGAATTATTTTAAGTATAGACTTAAAAAGTCGCAAGTATATTTTTAATATTATTATGAGCAGACAAATTTGAAATAGATACTTTTCGATAGATGACGATATTCATTATTATCTAGATTATTATTCGAACAGGAAAAAATTCGGCAACAGGGCCTTTTTTCGTTTTGTTTATCGGATGAATCACCCCTCTGACCCCGCTACCTCATTATGGAACAAAACAAATATGCTTGTTGATCCCTCTAGCAGTTTAAAGCTAGATGGTTTTCAACATCTCTGTATCAGAGAATCCCATGTAGCCAAATATTCTTGAAAATTAGGGGTATCATGCATGTTTGTGAGGAGTCTGTAGGAGGCAATGGACTGTGACTTTTTTAATGCCTCCAACTGAAGACAGTCAAAATGTCTCACAATCAAATTTTGCCTCCTCTAAAGTCTGTTTTTTTTTTAAAGATAATTCCCCAAGTCAAAAATTTAGTAACTATGTTGGCAACATAAGCCTTTTCTACATAAAAAATTTGAAAGCATTGACAATTTTACATTGTATTGCCAACATAATATCAGTTTGACTTTTATTTAAAAAAAAAAACAGATTGGGTACATTCAGGCGGTCCCAGCGGCTAAGCTCAGCTACTCAGCAGGAACTTTATTCTCGAAATCAAGGAACAGCGTTCTCATAAGAACGATTGCTCTGTCATTGTCAGTATTATGCCGGACGACAAAGACAGAACCTTCGTTCCAATGAGAACGCTGCTCCCCTGTTTCGAGAATAAAGTTCTTGCTGAGTGGCTGAACTAAGCCGCTGACACCGCCTGAATGCACCCATTTTATCAATGGTGGGAGTCAAAAAATCGTTGACACAAAATAGACAACCAGTATTTGGGAAAATACCCAAAATTACACCAAAAAGGTTCTTAATAGGTCTGTTTTCACAGAAATCACAAACTAGTCAGAGTATTTTTGATTGGTCCAAATCACCAACAACCAGTTTCCTGACTATTTTCAACCAATGAAATTCACTCTGACTGGTTTGTGATTTCTGTGGAAACAGACCATTCATGTGACACATCTGATAGTGACTATAGAAAAATTGTATTGTTTGCATTTAAAACATCCCAATATTATCTATATCTGACACAGCAAAAACTGCCAGTTAATAGTTCTTATAACAATCACAATCAAAATCAGATAATGGCCAAGTTACTGGCTCACTTGACCCTGTACCGGTTATAATACATTATCTTTGATAATTATTAATTAATCTTGATTGCATTCCTTAGCAAAAAAATCGTACTTACTATGATAGATATCTTGTAAAGAGCCACCGCCACAATACTCCATGCAAATCCATAGTTTATCGCGTCTCAAGTAGCTCCCATAATAAGCTATTATGTTGGGATGCCTGCAATCTTTCATCATGAGTATCTCCTGCTCGATAATACCAAAATCGTCCCCTAAAAACCATAATTATACCAAAAAACAACTACCAGAGTCCTTGAACTTACCAGCTTCCAATTTAATAACCTTAATTGCGGCCAATTCATTTAGAGACAGTCTTTTTGCCTGTAATTATCGAAATGTTAATAAAATGTAAATTAGTTGTTGGTCCTGGGTTACCTTGTAAACGTCTCCATAAGTCCCACTCCCAATTCTCTGGATCAGTTCGTAATCGTCCTGGGGATTTCTCCTGGAAATGTCCGAGCTCAAAACTCCTTGGGCCATTGCTTGTTTTTTTATATAACGGCTGAAGCGTTTACATTTTATTCTATAGTCAAAAATCTTTTAGGTGAAAATAAAATTCGTGTTTACTTGAATTTTTTTTTTGACAGCCCACTTGTTTTGTCAATCGACTCGTTTTTGACAATCAATTACAAGTAGGAGGATTTCATTTGCATCTGCTCCAAGCAGGGATTTCTGTTCTGTGTTCTGAGCCGTTTTCCAGTATGGGAGTGTGACGCTCGGAGCTTGAGCTTTCGAGCTATGCCAGAGTCTCATGCATACGTTTTCCTACGAAAGATGTCCGAAAAAACCTCTATTCTGACATAATCGTATGAAAATATGTCAAAAATCTAGTGCGTGGCGCTCCCGAGGAGCTCTAGAGCGCCCCAATGTGCATACTGGAAAGCAGCTCTGATCTTCGAGGACAACAGAAACTGGTTGAATTCTCTATTCTATTTTAGGTTGTTTGGATTCGATCGTTTTAGCATTTTAGGTAATCACCTCGCCAGGAGATGCTTGTGTAGTTAACTGTTTTAAATCAGCTCCGCTGTTCCTGGAAGATTAAGAGCTTGCACTGTTGGTTCTAGTGGCTTTATCCGAATGATTCCGGACTCATTTCTCTTTCGGAGTTGTTAACGCAACATTATTTATAAATTTGGTTTCTTCTCATTCTTATTAAAGAATTACTTGAATATCAATTTCGCGTAAAACACACAAGAGTGTATTTTCTACGACCCTGCGCCGATCGAGACAGCCGTTGAAGATTTGGATTTACACATTAGATAAATGGTGGTTCATATGCACGTTGCATTTTTACCGGTTCCGTGTTTTACGTTCAAAAAGTCTATTCGCTGTAAGCAACATCCTCTTTAAAATTAGAAGCGCTTTTTAAAACTGGTACCTTTAAAAATTTGTATGGCTTAGAATACAGAATCTTAAAAGTGACCAGTTTTAAAAAGCGCTTTTAAGTTAAAAGAGGATGTTGCATACAGCTGTATGTCTTGTGCCGTTAAAAGGGGACCTTGAGTGCCTTATAAGTCGATGGTGATACGTTGGTGGCTGTGGAGAACCGTTTTCCAGGGGATCCCCGTATATACGCACAGCTTATAAGAAAACCCAGGTGAGTGGTAATAACTTTTGTGTATTTCGACAACCCTATGGAATCATTTACATTTCTATTTCTATTTGTCTCGAACCAGTGCAACACTGATTCGACACTTGTTCCAAAGGGTCGGTACGAACTGCACTAGAGCGTCGCTCTATCTATTATTGAGCTATTATTAAATGTCAATAATTTGTATTAATGCATAATGCAGTCCCATTATCAGACACCACAAGTTTTAAGTCTTTCTCTTTTATGTCTGCATTACGTCTGATCGTCTGAAAACTAAAAAAGACGTCTAGGAGACATTATGTCAAAGATGTCGATAGGATATCCTAATAACCTCACATCTTAAAGATTTGGTACAACCAGGCCTAAAAGTGAATAATGGACATCTCTTTGAAGACGTCTTTAGAATGTCTTATGGCCGTTTGCACTGACCATTTTAAGAAAGCCTTAACGATAAGTATTCCTTAAAATGTCATTTTTACATACCTAGAGAAATGTCATTTTAATAGGAATAGGTACCTTCCTTAAAAATTGCTTGGTGCAAACGGCCATTAGTACTAAAGCCGACTTTAGGCAGAAGTCTGAAAGTCGTTCGATTTTGTAACATATTGTTCGTGAATTTCTAACTCACACTTTCCGTATGAGGAACGAGGGGTTGTTTCATATGGCAAAAACAGGTGTGACGTCAGGTAACTACGGTAACTATTGGGGTTCTAATGTAGGGTGCCACCAACTCACATTCCGTCCGAGTATCAGATTAAAATTGACGGACAATACGACGTCTTCAAGCTTCAAGATTTCTTTAAGACGCCTCAAAGACATCTTGAATGTCGTTTGTCGCCATTTCAAAATCTCAATTCTCAGGGACGTCTCTATAAAATGTCTACAAAAATATCCCAATTTAGAAGTTACTGGAAACCAGTTTAGAATGCTACAGAACACTTTAGAACTTTATTAATCTTTTGGAAAGTTCAAAAAACTTACAATTCAATTCAGAATTTCCAAAAGCATTCTGTAGCACTTCAGAACATTTTGGAAATTTCATAATCATTTAACAATGCCCCAAAACATTCAAAAACCGATTTTCAACTTCCTAAAGCATTTTAGAACAATTCAGAAGTTTGAAACCCATTTTAGGATGCCCCAAAACACTGAAACACTCTCTAGAATCTCCAGAAAATTTTAGGATTCGCACTCGCAGGTTAAGGGCGAGTTCTTGCACGTCATTTTACACCTTGCAATTTGACTTGTTTCTTTCTCTAACCTCAACCAAACTTTTTTTTTTGTCTTGTTGATGTTTACATTTTCCAAAAATAAAAAAAGTTATTATAAGTCGATATAAAAAGAAGAAAGCAATAGCAGCAACTTTAAGCATCATAATTGCCAAAAATTCCCCAGCTTGCACGAAAACCTTCAAGAAAAATGGCACCAAACCGATTGCTTGCATCATTCAAGTTTCAAGAATCTTGCAGAAACCGATCAGCTGACTCCTCTCTGCGCATGCCCTCGTTCAAGTTTCTTGCATATTGCAGAAAGAATTGCAAGCTGTAAAACGGCAAATCCAAATCAGAATTTTCTGGAGCATTTTTGGAACAATTCAGAAACATCAGGAGTTATTTCACAAGATTTATAGGATTCAATTTAGAACTAGAAACCTTTTAGAACTCTTTTGAACCAATTTAGAACACTTTGGAGCTTCAATAGAGCTCTAAAATACTTTAAAATCTGTCAGAACAGTTTAAGAAGAACTTCTAAAATGCTCCAGAACTCTTCAAACCAAGTTAGAACAATCTAGAACTTCAATAAGCCATTTAGAACGTTCAACACTTTAAAAACCTCAGAATTATTTCAGAACCTAACGCCTGGAATAAACGGTATTCTTAAATTCTGACTATATTCCTCAAGGTTGTTCAAAACGAGGTTGGCTGATAACTTTTATGACGTCATCTGTATGCCTCAACATAATGCAAATCTCCATAAGGCACCTCAGATACGTCATCAATAGTTACCCATTACCAGACAACCTATGAACTTTAGGAACCTTGACTTATTCCTGTATTTTAGAATTTCAGTATCTTGATTTGTTTTTTAATTTTCACTATTGACACTCTTCTAATGTTTTTCTTTCTAAATGAATTTTGTATGTTTTTGTTTAAAACTAAAAGAAATCAAGATTTGAGGAGAGCCTAGCTTTTGTGGATTAGAAAAAAATTGATAGTTATAAAATGAGCTATGAGTATTACCTAATGGAATGTTAGTCCTGAAAATGTGTTCAGGTAGACGTCTGAAAGACGTTTGGTTTTGTAACATACGATGTCTTCAAGATGTTTTTAAGACGCATTGAAAACGTAAGCAGGCGTCTAAAGGGACGTCTTTAAGATATGTCTATGTGATGTCTGAGAATCTGGAACAGACAGACAGAACAAACAGGACAGACACGATCCTATTTTAGACAGATCCTGCTTGGAGCAGACAGACAGCAGACCTATTTGATACAGCTTTTAGACTGACCCGTATAATACTCCTAAAGTGCGTTTTTTTTTTTAAAGATAATTCCCCAAGTCAAAAATCTAGTAACTATGTTGGCAACACAAGCCTTTTCTGCATGAAAAATTTGAAAGCATTGACAATTTTACATTGTAGGTATTACCAACCTAATGTCAGTTTGACTTTTATTTAAAAAAAAAACGCACTTTACACAGTTCAGAAGACAGCTTTTAGACTTAGCAGCGTTAATGATTTTTCGTTTAATTGCCGTATTATCTGCGTTACTCGCAAAGCGGATTCCGTGCGGCACTGTCGAATTCTACTGGAACAGGTAGTCAGACAGGACAGACAGACCCTGTTTGGAGCCGACCACAGACAGGCAGACAGGAGAGACAGATCCTGTTTCAGACAGACCCTGTTTGGAGCAGATAGACAGCAGACCGTTCTGACAGCTTTTAGTTTACTGCTATACAGGTCAGGAGACGTCAGCTTTTCGACTGACCCGTATACTGGTATACAGGCCAGGAGAAGGTTTTAGACTGCTTTACAGGTCCATATACTGGTCTGATACAGCTGCTTTTAGACTGACGACTGACCCGTATACTGCTACGCAGGTCAGAAGACAAACTTAACATCGGTAACTTTTCGTTTAACTAGCTTATCTGCGTTTAAATGGCTTCTTCGTAGCATCCCTCCGGCGAGTTTTATTAAAAGATATCAATTCTTGATTTCTTGCGAAAGCTTATATCTATGTCTGGCATTTGGCAGTATTGTCTACCACTTTCAACTTTGATGAGCCAGTCTATGTGGGCCAGTAAACCGATTGACATTTTCCGTATGAGGAGCGAGGGGGTGAAACATAATATGGCAAGAACAGGTGTGACGTCAGAGGTGACCATTGGCGTTCGGGAATCCCTGCTCACATTCCTTTGGATGAGATTGAAATCGACGGACTTTAGCTGCACGGATATTTCTAGAAAATCGGAAATGTACGAAGCAAACAACTAATGACTGAGTAATTGAACGATCTACATAGAGAGGGCGAATACACGAGATTCATAGCTTACAATAAACCAAAAAAGTTTCGAATTCGTATATCTTAAGTGTTAAACAAAATCCAAAACGAAAAACCCAATCTACAGCTCCAGATCTACTTATTCTGAGATAATTACCATTAATAGTTGACGAGTGCCTGTTTTGTACGTAACATGAATCCGGTAGTAAAGTGTCTCAACTCAACGGAATTATATGTTTTTTGGGGTGGTGAATGCGAATCCGAAGTTGGCTGCCTCGTAGCAGTACCGGCTCAGATCGAAAAATGCGAAAAACCTCGACATTTTCGGACTTTTTCCGTTTTTCTGGTCATATCTTGCAAACGACACATCGTGCGGAAAATGTCATAGTATACAAAGTTGAAGAGCATAAAATTCTGCGTCGAATGATCTCTCTAACCTTGTTACTGTTAAATTTATAGGCTTGCCATCGTTAGTCGAAAATAGCCAATTTTAATGAACTTTTGTGAAAACTGCAATAAACTTACTTGAAGGAGAGTAAAATTCAATGGACATTTATCAGGTATTCTCCATAGAGCGCATCTCCACACTAAGTATACTAGAACTTACTTGCTCTTTTCCTTTAGCAGACTATATGGTCTCCCCATGATTTTTCTTACAATGTAGGTAGGTACATATTATGTATATATTATCTCATCATGTTAATTTAAAGTAATAGATACGTAAATATTTTTTTTGTAAATGGGTACTGATTGTTGGAGCTGCGAGCTCCCAGGACGAGGACCGCATATTTTTCTCTGGTGAAGTTACACATTATGGAATTGCATTTTGCGGCTGTTGCAGTATACTACAAATTTTAACTCCTTCATATATTTATTTTAGAAAATAAATATGTAGGTATAAACCCTTATAGGTTTATGCTTAGAGTTCTCTTCCGACAATCTTGCAAACCTAGCTTTATTTCTTATAGAATTTTGACTGTGCCATGTATATACCCGAAAGTGTTTGCCTCTGATGGGTCTATGGGAAATGCTATGACCAACTTTCTTCGGCAAGGCACTATTCAACCAGGTTTATTTTTCCAAGAACGCCTTCAATTTTCTACCATCTAGCGTTGTCTTCACGTTCATATGGGAGGTTTAAAAAGGGGGTAAAGGGAGTTACTCTTGACTAAAGCCTACTACTATAATATTGAAGAATTTTTTGGAGGCCCTTGTGAAAATACCTACCTATTATTTTAAACTTATAGGCGATTTCGCATTCGCCCCAGACTTTGTTTGGTACATTTTGACTTTGACATGTTTATTTGGACATGAGAGAAAAAGAAACAGAAAGCTACCAAACCTCCAGAATGGCGGTACCTGTTTGACAGACCAAACTGGGGTACCAAACTGAGGCGAAATCGCCTTATGTAAAATTTTATACTTATAAATCCTCAAGTCAAGTCAGACTTACAAAAAATGGAGGGGGAAGTAATTTAGAGTTGACAAGTGGGGTTTGAGAAGTAGGGGTGTATATTGACAGGCACATACTTTTTATTATTGGACCCCTTCATTTTGTCAAATAAGCGTTTAGAGGGAAAATGAAGAAATTATCAGTATATATAAGTTCATTTCTTCCTTTTTTCGTAAAGTAACAAAGTTAGGGAGATCGTTAATTCCAAGCAGAACTTCATTCTTTTCAATTTTGAATACCATGACATTTTCCGTACGATGCGTCGTTTGCAAGATATGACCAGAAAACCAGAAAAAATCCGAAAATTTCGAGGTTTTTCGCGATTTTCAGCCTGAGCCGGTTCTGCTACAAGGCACTCAAGGCAGCAAACTTCAGATTCGTATTCAGCACCCTGAAAAACATATACCTACTAATTTCGTTGAAAAACCTCCTACCTCACTCATGTTACCAGAAAATTACCATTAGATTAGACTATTACAGGAGTGACCCAACACTTTCATTAGCCTCGTTCGTATAAATATACACAATTTTTACAAGCCCTTTCTTCAAGAAAACATACGCCCTAAAGATTTTTTGAGTCGTCGACCCGAAAAATCCCCTCGCCAAACAATGGGTTTTCGAGTTTCATGAGGCGTATTTTTGTAAATTATACTGGGTATATTAATAGGCGCAGGTGGAAGATTTTACCAATTATAATTTGCTCGCATTTTTATCAATATTTCGTTAATTTTTCTTGTTATGTAGGCCTAACTATAATAAAATGCATTTTGACATATTTATGTGTCCCTGCGGGATTGAAAAACACAGTTCTTATTTATACCCGATCCAACTATATAAGAAACAAGAAACATTATTAACCGAATGCTCCCTGTAAATATCCCTCTACTCCATATTCAACCAGCTGCTTATCCAGAACTGGAACAAGCGCCGGCGTAAGTGCCGTCGACGTCGCGACGACGACGTATGCCAGGCACGAAATTATCAGTTTGACGCTCCGCGTCAAAACACAATGCCATTTATGTTGATTTTTTCTTTTACGAATTAAAACATTTCACTTGAAAATAATGAAGTTTGCTGAACACCTATCAGCCCATATTACTCCAGAATGGCGCAAACAGTACATTACTTACGAGGTAATAATAATTATTATTGAATTTATTTTGAGTAGGTAGTTCAATCAAAAATAGCTTATTTTTTGTTGTTTTCATGCTTGACCTAAAATATTAATCGTGTTTGTTTCACAACCCTACCTATATATTTTCCTAAATTTCTTATGTAGGTGAAACCAATCTATTTTAATAACTCAAATGTTTCCAGGGTCGGTTTTTCATTCATGATTGATTGTTTTATTTATAAAACTTAAATTTTTGTTCCAGGAAATGAAAGCGATGCTTTATGCTGCAGTAGAACAATCACCATCCGCAGAACTAGTAGAGCCGGACATTTTAACCAGATATTTTGCAAAGTTTGACGAACGCTTTTTCAGTTTTTGCGATAAGGAATTAACAAAAATCAATACATTTTATTCTGGTATTACTTCTATTATTTATAAATTAATTGCATCATCAATCAATGGCTATAAATTTTCCAGAAAAGTTAGCAGAAGCGACAAGAAAATGCGCAAATCTCAAAAGCGAACTGAGCGAAACTCAGGATAACGAGTTCAAAGGAAAAAGTAGCAAAAATTTAATCAAAAACAATATTTTACGGAAACGCAACGTTCCGGCCAGGAAAATGCAAGAGCTGAAGCTAGCATTTAGCGAATTTTATTTGAGCTTGATTCTGTTGCAGAATTATCAAAATTTGAATTTTACCGGGTTTAGGAAAATTTTGAAAAAACACGATAAGGTAAGAGGTATACCAATACGATGGAAACTTAGGAACACATAAATTTATAATAATTATTATTAACGTTATTATGGTTATACAATTATGGAAGAAACCCAACTGGGAAGTTTTTATTTTCCACTGAAGGGAACACAGAAGAATTTGATCTATCGATATTCAAAAGAAACCCCATGAGAGTTTGGAAAAATCCATGAAACTATTGGGCATTTCAAAGGAAATAAGAGGCAGAATCCAAACGAGCAATATATTTATCAAACAATAGAAAAACTTACTACCTATATCGATTCTAATTAGAATTTGGTTCTCAGAATCTCTGAAGAGTTTTGTTTGAAATTTGTTCTGTTAGATCTTCCGTTTTATAGTCTTTTGTCGAATTCTTCTATTTCAATCTTACCATATTTCTCATTTTTCTTTTCTCCAGACTTCCAGAAATCCTTTGTTTAGTTAGAGTAGTTCTAGTTTCTCAGACGTCTGCCAGTCCCATATACTTTCCTTCTCATTTTTATGTTTTCTGTTACTATTTCTTCAAAGTTCTCCATATTGCTGGTCATTTTGGCGCTAGTTGAAGTTAATCCGTGTTGTGGATCTAGAATGTTTTGCTTCTGAGTTATGGATAATGTCATCTTCTAGAATTTTTATTTAGAAATCTCGAATGACGTTTTTCTAAGCTCCTGTATATTATTTGCAATACAGTTGAATATCCATCTGGTAGAAGTGTTTCAGGATTTGCAGTTGAACTAACCATTCAGGGTGGTTAGAATAAAATTCAAAATTTTGATTATTACAAGCTCTTGATTGAACGATTATTTATTCCAGGAAAATCAAAAGCCGATAAAAGTTCTGATTGTTACAGGCTCTTGATTCGTTTATGAGAAACTCATGATAATCGAAATCCCAAATATTGATAACTATTGACGAAAGCCTTTGATTTCTCAATAATCCTTCCAATCAAGAGTAGAAGAGATTCCGAGATTCATTTGACCAATATCTGATGCTGAGAGGTTTTTGGTTTTGATTATTTGGGGCATGTCCATCCAGTTCCACTATGAAGTATCCCAATGTCTAGTGTTTTCTGATTGTTCACAAGAAAGAGTGGCATTGAACATTATTTTTCTTATCAATATAGGCTCTTGGAAGCTCAGTTCCCTGAGCTGCTCCACGATCTCCCTACAAGGAGAGTTGATGAACAGTTCTATTATCGATCTGCTTCTTCTTGGTACCTTTGGAGCTGAGGAGCCTCCTGAACACTTTCAGTTTTGAAGGTCTACTCCATTCTCAGATTTTCTCCCCTTCTTTGTTACATAATCCTTGTTTTGCTTCAAGGTTGTCTTTAAAGATGGAAATTCGAAATTGTCGCACTAGTTTATTGGAAAAGCCGTTGATATCGAGAGGGTAGTCACTGTGTAAATCTTCTGTCCTACGGGATGGAAATACGTGGATATCCAAGAACTTCAGCTGCAGTCTCAGTCTTGTAGAATCGGAAAAGCGTAATATAACTTTTTTTTTAAACTGGTATCGTGGTTAATAATGTAAGTATATGGAGGTTTGGAGGAGATACATGGATATCCATGGAAATTAAAATGATCTCCACTCCATGAAGATGCAAGTGTAGCATCCGCGCCAAGTACTCTAATATTTAGGTTAGATGGTAAATTGCGAGCGGATTTATTTGATTGTAATTATTTCCTTGGGCAGCTACTGTAAAATAAAATTGTGGGGGCAGGTCTATTTGCAATTAAAAGAAACAACTGATTTATAGTTATGCGTTATTAATTATACTTTATTAATAAGAAAATAAACAAATTTTCATTTCCTATAACAACGGTACAAATTTTCTAAACCCTAATGCAATATAGCTATTCAGCTATATTTCTTTAATATTAAAGTTTAGACGTATATATGTTGTATATGATAGACTGTTGATTATCCATGACAATGATATACCTCCCTATCCTAATTCTTAACTACAAATTACTATAAGGTATTATCAGGTGTATAAGAATCCCCACATCCAACGCCTTTCTAAACAAAATAGCTATTTATACAATAAGTTACGAAATGAGCGTCTTTTAGGCACGCGACGTGAAAATTGTCCAACGAGGCAAAGCCGAGTTGGACAACACGTCGAGTGACTAAAAGACATCGTTTCGTAACGTATTGTATACAAGATTTTTTCTACTGGCATTTTATAATAAAAAAACACAATTTTATTTTATGTGAATATGTCGATTACGCCCAAAATCTTTGTTACCTGCTTTTACCTCACACCTGACACTTTTCATGCGATTTTTTTTTTGTTTCAAGATTCGACATCAATAATTAAAATCCTAGAAAGTAGGTAACAACACAAAGTTCTGTTTTGAGTAACCCCAACGTTCAATTCAGTAATTCCATTTTCAATATTCATAATAAATACAAAACAAAATTCAAATATGTGTTTAGTGTGTTTTTTATTTCTGAATAATGAATGACACTTTTAGGCACTAGTGCTTAAAAATTACTTTTACGCACTCAAAAGTCACTTTTACGCATTAAAAAGTCACTTTTACGCACTGAGTGCTTAAATGTAACTTTCACGCACTCAGTGCTTAAAAGAATGTCGTTTAAAAACTAAAATGACAATCGAAAAGTTGCTATTATGAAACGTCAGTAGAAAAATAAATTAATGCAATCGTACAGCCACCTTTACACTGTCTCTGAGCTTCTAAATCAAATGATGCAATCAGAAAGCCTTGTACTTTAATATTTATGCAATAAAGTTTCATAGTCAATTCACTTCATAGTCATTTCAACATTGATAAAGTCAAATTAAAACTTGTCACTAGAGTACTTACATTTAAATATCGCCCTTTAGATCACTTAATTATTCTAATTTCCTTTGCTTATTTACAGCTCACACATAATAGGTTTGTTTCTGCAGAAATCACAAACCAGTCAGAGCAAATTTCATTGGTTGAAAACAGTCAGAAACAGTCAGAGAACTAGTTTCAACCCATGAAATTCACTCTGACTGGTTTGTGATTTCTGCAGAAACAGACCTAATGTTGAACGAATGTTAAATGTTTCCACAATTTTTCGTTACTTTTTCAAAGTCGGATTTAACGTGTATTCCCGAGGCAACAAAATGAAGAAATTCTTCGCGAATTTTATCCGGACTGACTTATCAATTTTACTGTAGATTCAAGACTCATCTGAACTTTAGACTGACTAGACTCGCCATCTTTTATACTATTATTTACCCACCGCAATCGACAATATGGGCGGTCGTTTGACCATCTGTAATTCAATTCTATTGGCTGACCTAGATATTATTCCAAAAATTTTAACTCGCTCATCGGATGATGACGAAATCTGTGTCGAAATTGTATGATTATTAGGGGTCAACGAAATGGGAAAGAATATAGACACTTAATTCAATAAGGAAAAGCTGCGCTCGTGTCAGCAATAAATTATACGATCCTTTGAAATTTCTGTCATTTTGAGACTTAATTTAATAAGGTAGGTAACTAACCGTTTATTTAATCTTTTTCGGGTTTGGGTTGTAAGTATATGGAGGTTTGGAGGAGATAAACGGATATCCATGGAAATTAAAATGATTTCCACTCCATGAAAATCTATGGAATTCCAAGAAGATCTCCACAAATGGAGATTTTCTGTCTTAAAAAATCGCAACTATATGACTACCTACCTCCGAGGTTAATATAGGTACTGGTAGGATGATTGGCTTTTGAAGTAGCTAGATCCAAGCTTTTCTTCTCTATTGACATTAAATGTATCCTCGCAAGGCAGTCATCAAGCTCTTGTGGAAATCCTAATCTTCAAAATAATGAATGCTGAATAGAGAAATTCTAGACAGACACAGGAATAAACTTGCCCAAGCAGATTATCAAGTTTTTCTTCGGATGTTTGATGCAGCAGAGTTGTAATACGTTTCAGCCCAGACCTCTATCTCAAAATTGTTGATTTCATTATTGACTTTGTTATCTTGATGCAGGACAAATAAATACTGCCTTTCAACCTTTAGGTACAGCAGCAGATTGTCAGTGTCAGCATTACTTACAACATTAGTTTTTTTTACCATCATTACAAAAATATACCAACAAATAAAATCAATGGTAATTTTTTTTCCAGCTTTTATCAGCCGACATTGGCACGCGATGGCGAATAGAAAACGTAGAAAGTTCCCATTTTTACACGAACAAAGATATAGATAGACTGATTAGAGAAACCGAGGCTACTTTCACGCAAGATCTCGAAGGAGGCGACCGCCAAAGGGCCATGAAACGACTAAGGGTGCCCCCTTTAGGTGAACAACAAAGCCCTTGGACTACGTTCAAAGTGGGACTATTTTCGGGGGCTTTCTTTACACTTTTAGCTGCTGTAATTTTATCGGGGGTATTTCGGACGCCCAAAGAAGACTGGAGACTGGTTACTCGTTTGTATAGGGGTCCGTTGCTTATAGTCGAATTTATGTTTTTGTGGGGCATTAATATTTACGGGTGGAGGACTTCGGGGGTTAATCACGTACTAATTTTCGAAATGGATCCTAGGAATCATTTGTCGGAGCAACATATTATTGAATTGGCCGCTGTTTTTGGAATCATGTGGTCGATATCGGTAATTATAACGGGAGATTTTCAACTTCTTCATGGTCATCTTTATAAACCAATAAAATAAAGATAGTCATGTATGAAGTGTGTGTGTGAAAATCTCTCTATATTGATTTTTAACACTTATTTTTCAGGTTTTAGGTTTTTTCTACAGTGACCACTTAGGTATGCCAGCTTTGATTCACCCGCTGGCCCTTATAGTACTGATGTTAATGTTTGTACTAAATCCGACAAAGACTTTCAGGCATGAGGCGCGATTTTGGGCCCTGCGAGTCTTGGTGTGTAGTAGCTGCATGCTTTGTATTTGCTATATAATAATTTATTAGGTATTTTTATTATTTTTTTTTTTATTTTGCTTTAGGTGTTTTTAATTTGCTGTCTTAGCGATGTTTGAATTAAAGAAAAAACTCTATATACGCCTACTTTTTCAAAGTAAAAGGTCTCCGTTTTTTTTTTTTTTAGGGTAAAGTGATAGCTGCTCCATTTTTTTACGTCACGTTTGCCGATTTTTGGCTAGCGGATCAGCTGAACAGTTTGGTCACTTTATTTACGGATTTCCAGTATTTTGTTTGCTTTTATGCTACCAACGGAAGCTGGTCAGAAGGAAAAGGTATAAGCATTCTAGGCAAGGGAATGTAGTAAAACATTTCCTATATTGGTTTTAGAAGTCAATTATTGCGTGGAAAAATTCTCAGGGATCAGAGCCTTCATGGCCTGTCTACCTCCTTGGTTCAGATTCGCTCAATGTCTCAGAAGGTATCGAGACACGAAAGAAGCTTTTCCTCACATAGCAAACGCTGCAAAGTACGCTACTTCCTTTTTCGTTGTGATATTTTCTACTTTAAATAAGTTAGACGGATGTAAGCGCACCACATAGAGATTTTTCCTATTTTAATATTGAACTTATTTTCAGATAATTCCCAAAGCGATGATAAACTTTCGCCGTTTTTCTATTTGTGGATAGCCGCTTCGTTGTTGAGCACGTTTTACGCTTACACTTGGGATATAAGGCTCGATTGGGGACTTTTGGATGCCAAAGGGGCCGATAATAAATTTCTTCGGGAGGAAATCGTTTATTCAGCCACAGTAAGTACGATGGTTATGGTAATGCTACTTATTACTATCTAGTCATAGTACATGAAGAATTTTCATATAGTTTCATACAGAGAAGCTTTATACTTCATCAATGGTTGCCTTAAAATTATAGACTCTTGAAACTATATAAATTACATTTATCTTAAATATAAGTTACTCATTTTTTCGACATTTTATTCTTCGATTTGTTTCAGTGGTTCTACTATTTCGCAATATTCGAAGACCTGATCCTACGATTCGGCTGGGCGTTCCTGATCGGAATGACCGAAATGGGCTACGCCATGGAGAATTCGATGGTGTGCATTCTGGCTCCGCTAGAAGTGTTCCGTAGGTTCGTTTGGAATTTTTTCCGATTGGAAAACGAGCATCTGAACAATTGCGGCAAGTTCAGAGCGGTGCGCGACATTTCGGTAGCTCCGCTGGACACTTCGGATCAGACTTTGCTGATACGCATGATGGACGAAACCGACGGAGTAACGAACAGGAGGAAGAGGAAAAATAGGCGTAAAGCAGGAGAGCACAGGGTGACTTTGGACACTGGAGAATCGACTGATGACTTGGAAAATTAGACAATGTTTTTTGTTTTAATATAAATTCAAGTCTTGTTGGGTACCTAGGTACTCTATTTTTTTCTGTAAATAAACGTTATCTAGTTGTAATGATAAACATAGGAGAGATTTTTTTTTATGTAAGGTTTTTGATTTATAGGTATACCCGTTCTAAGATTCATCATACGTCACCATCTCTTATCTGGTGGCTTCTTATCTGGGTTCGAACTGTTCGTATCACGGACTACGATCCTTAGGTGAGTTCGGAACACTGCTTTCCATTATGCAGTACCTATGCACATTGGAGCGCTCTGGAACACCGCGGAAGCGCCCCTCACTAGATTTGTACTGTTCCAGTATCATGGCGTGAGACGCCTGTTCAGAGATAAATACTATACAGGGTAGGTATATACCATTTGAAACGAAACAGGCTTAATATCCGATGTCACTTTTATTTTTCAAAAAATCGCTCGTACACGTAATTTGATTGTGTGAGTATTTGGAACATTTTCAGCACTAGCTCAACCCTCTAGCGGGAATTCCAAATGGAACAGGGGGTCGAGTGATACCTGTTTTAAAAGAGCGTTCAATTTTGTTTCAAATGACATCAAATAAAAGATAATTGAACTCTCTTTTAAAAAAGGTATCACTCGACCCCTTGTTCTATTTGAAATAGTAAGGGTTGACCCCACCCCGCCTAGAGGATTGAAGTTGAGGTGTTAAAAATGGCTGCAGAAAACTTCCTCCTTCGGAAATCAAACTACGTGTAGGTACAAGCGATTTTTTTTTAAATTAAACGCGGCATCAGATATTTAGCCTCTTTCGTTTTAAATGGTACTGTAGCAAAACGCCCCAAGTACTCTATGCAATTAGATGGTAAATGGCGAGCGGTATATTGATGGTGTTTATTTACTTGGAGCTGCTACCTAAAATCTGTGGAAGGGTCTATTTGCAAGAGAGAGAAACAAACTATTGAGGTGTACTAAATTATATTTTATTAAACATAAAACCAAAATTTTTAATCAGCCAAATATCTTCCAATTCTGACAGCCTCATCTATTTCTATAAATTCAATTACTTCACATCCGTTCTAAAATTGTAATTATTACGGACCACTGAAATATCTCTACTAAATAAGAAACGCCCTATTCCTACTATTCCTAATAACTTATAAGTTAACTCATTTCAATACTTCCGATTCATTCCTATTAACTACCTACTTTCCACCTATTTCTATAAATTCTTTAAAAGTTCTAAGTCCTTTACTGACTGCTTATGAAAACCCCAAAATAATTACCTATATATTTATTTATTAATATAAGATAAGGTACATATTACTAACTTATTTTTATAAACCATACAATAATTTCTACTTGAAAAATAAAACCCTAATTCAAAATTCATTTCATGAACAATAAGTTTCTTTTCAAAATTTCCTATTCCATTTAATAGTTTATTTAATCAGAGCAATTCTATTCTTGGATTCCTAGCCTAGCTAATAAATCCAACTGTTTAATTTATAATTCCAACTCAAAATTGTATATTGTTAAATGCATTATAAGTTCCCTTCATATTTTCTTTGCACAATTAAATTAGAATGTCATTATATCTGAAGGCAATTAAAGTTATGCAATAATGTTTCATTTATAAAACACTCGAGTTAATAATATTTATGCAATAAAGTTCCACAGTTAATTATAAAGACAAAATGTTTTTCTAGTAAAAATCACTCAAGTTTTTAGGTATTAAAAGTCATTTGTTAGTTCACTTCTTATCATTCAGAATCATTGATAAAAGTCAGAAAATTATTAAACACTAAAGTACTTACATTTAACTTTGCACACGTAAAATTACTTAATTAATTACTCAAAATTTTTAGCTAGCAGGCACATAAATGTTGACGAATTAAATTGTTCTTCTTCCAAAATGTTTCCGCTACTTTTTCAAAGACTGTTACCGAGGCAATACAAGAAACTTTCCGGACTGACACTTTAGGTACTGTAGATTTTAACTCAAACTGGACAGGACTGCGAACTCATCTCTCAACTGACAACTGCCTTCCACTTCTAAAACCGCGGTATTTATATTAAATCGATCCCCCCACAAAGTATTATTAATTATGCCCCAAAATCGTCAATAGGCGGTCGTTTGACGATCAATCAGACAATCCCATTGGCCGACCTAAATATTATTAAAAATAATGATGCAATTTCCTTGAAATTTTTATCATTTTAAGTTTAAAAAATCGAATAATTATGTCGCAATATACTGATTTATCGGGGTCGAATACAGTGGTTCAGGAATGCCATAAATCATTCGATTTAATTAACATGATGGCCTTGCTAAAAAAAAAGTTCATTGATCGGGTGTTAGGATGACATCACCCTGTCATCGTTTTTTTTATTTTTAAGAATTTAATTTAGATGATGACATAGGCTGGGTGTCGAATTACGTTAGCGTTAATTTGTTTCATTTTTAATTTATCAATACTGATTTGGAAATACCGGAAATTCAGTTTTTGATTATTATTTAATTTTTACAGTAAAGACATTGTGATTTACGGGTCTAATTTCTGGATCATTACAGTACATCCTGTATAAATATATGTGTGTATATGAAATATGAATATGTAAAGATTTTGGATTAATTTTCCTTGCTATTCCATCCACAGATGCGTTTCGACCTATCAGATCTCATCAGTGTGGCTAGGAACAATGCTATGAATGCTAGGAAAGCAAAGAAAAGAAGCCAATCCAAGTTTAGCGCCTGTAGGCAAAATAAAAGTAGTACGACGAGCGAAATTTGATCGTGGCGCCATTTAAGACTAGGATTCAACACTAAACAGCACCTTATTTGCTGTTTTAGTACTGAACATCTAATAGGCCGACCAAAAATCCTATCCTGATGAGACCTGATAGGTCGAAATGTCGAAACGCATCTGTGGATGGAATAGCAAGGAAAATTGATCCAAAATTTTCACATCAGTGGATAATAAGAGAAAACTTGTATTCCCTATTTTGGGTTTTCCCAACTAACTGATTTTTGGTCGGTCTATTAGATGGTCAGTACTAAAACAGCAAAAGTGCTGTTTAGTGTTGAATTTTAGTCTTAGATGGCGCCACGATCAAATTTCGCTCGTCGTATCTTAGACGTCTTTTTCTGTTGAACCATGTTTTAAAACGTTTCAAAACTGGTTCGATTGCTACGTCATCATATCAGTGATCAAAAATGCCCCGTTTTAAAACGGAGTACGTGACATATCTCTACTATACCATTAGTATTTTGAAACAGGTTGAAAGAGCGGTTCGAAACTGGTTGAACCGTTTCCCTATATGACGTCACCGTTGCAACACCCAAATATAGCGTTTTAAAACGTTTCAAAACATTTCGTCAGAAAAAGACGTCTTATATCAATTGTATATAAATAAAATATCACTTTGTTTTCGAGTCGGTTTCTCAATAGCGAGTCACCTCCAGGTTGGTTTTAGCTCCAGGATAAACGTGTCCAGTTGCAATGTTTACCCTGGACTGGGATCACGACAAGTAGAATTCTACTAGAATTCAATTCTACTTTCATGACGTCAGGTTGCCTAGCAACCGTTATCATCGCCTGTACTGTACACGATAAATAGGTCGCTGGTGACGTCATGAAAGTGGAATTCTAATCTCAGCCCTGAATGATACAAATAAATATATGTCAAATTTCTACAAGAGAGTTCTCGTGCTGTCCAAATTCCAAATACCGTAACGTTATTTGACAAGTATGACAGTTCTTACCGTATTAGCGTTAGCGGAGCCCGCTACCTAACGGGACTTAGCGGATGCCTTACCGTATCGCTATGCGATGTCAAAATTAGTTTGCGTTGCATTTTTTCCATTTACGTCTGCAAAAACAGCAACTTCTAATAATTCCTCCATAAAAAACACTAATTAATGAAATTCAGGAATCTTTAGGATAAATAAAAGTTAGAAAATAAGCAAAAAAAAAGTTGGGTTATCTGTCAAAATGTAAACAGCATAAGGGATTGGAGGATCGATTTCTGTGTCTTCGTGTCCGAAAACTATAAAATACCGTATTGTTAGCGGTACCGTATTAGCGTAGCGTCTGAGGCACGAGAACTTTCTATTAATCGACTAGCGATTACCCTAATCGACTGAATAACCGAATAATCCCTGATACGTCACACACGTCAATACCGATGCATCACACACACACAGGGCCGAGTTCAGAAATAACGCACAGGGTGCGAGTGCGATTTTATGAGTGTGCCTGAATTGACAATTGGCCATTGGGCCCATAGCACTGTCTAGCATTTTTGAACAGCTAGGGCGTCGCACCGGTGTCACACTCACACTGGGTGTGTCATTCCTGAACTCGCCCCAGAATAAGAAAGTGCGTTCGAAACCATTTTCGAAACGATAATTTCTTGTTTGGCTTTAGCTGCACCGGAGTGGAACCTGGAACGTAGAACCCAACATACAAGTAGAGTAGAGCTCAGAACTCGGGTACGGTACAGAGCGAAAAGCGACACTCGACTCGTAACGTAATTCAAATTGTACTAGATTTATGAGAGAGGTACCAGCGTACTAGATGAAATGTGATTGTGCTAGATCTAGTACAATTGTACTAGAAATAGCATATCCCTGTGCGCCTGTCTTACGAATCTCTCTACACAATATCAAAAATTTAGCAAAATTCCACATAGATCACTTTTCCATAAGAAATGTGCAGGGTCCTTTTTGTGTTCTCGATGAGCTAATTACAGTTTGTATATTTTAACTTTATTTAATATTTAGAATAATTAATATTATCACAAAAATAAACACAAATCTCAAATCTCTCGCCACGCCAAAGTACCAGTGATGACGTAGACAGCGTGTCGCTTCTCGCCGTGACAGTGTGTTTGCACCACAGGTTATGATTGCGCTGATTTTTGTTCTATGCATATTTGGTTTCACTACATTATGTAACATTCCAAAACAACCCTTGTCCACATCTCGTTGGCATCTTCCTCCTGCCTATTATGTTAATCAAAATTGAATAACATTTTTCATCATAAATGTATATTCCTAACTACGACCGCTGGCGCAAACCGCTAACGACACCATTCATGACGTCAACAACAGTGCAACACCATATAAACTTCATTTGCAAAATGAAGGCCAATGCAATAGGGTGTATTATCCTTGCGTAGCCTAATCGAGTCAGAAATGCACGTTTTTCAACGCCCTGTTTAGAGTGGTTCGGATCAAGGTTTTGCTAATAGGTTGTCTGGTAATGGGTAATTTGATGGGGTGCCCAATGACCTTATGAAGATTTGCATGTTAAAGCACCCCAAATGACGTCATACAGTTATCAGATAACCTACCGCTACCTCTCTCAAATAACCTTGAGTTTGGATTGTTTGGCAACTAACTACAGCTAAGTTCACACTACTACTACAATTACAGACGATGAAATCGAATCCTAACCTCTAAAAAAGTAATAATTTTGTTTTTGTTATTCTTTTTAGGCTGATTTTTCAAAATCGTACAACAATGAGTCAAGACACTGACTCTTATTTAGAACTCTCTGACGATCCGGTGAGATTCGAACCAGTCAATCAGCTCACAAACGTATTTTTTGACGACACAAATAAAGACGTCTTCACAGTACGTTCTGGCGGCGTTATGGGCGTTGTTGTAAAGGTAAAAAACCACAATTTGCAAATCTATACCTGTGTCTATACTATATCTTATTCACAATCTGTAGTCCAAAGGTACAGGTAAATGTATCACCTTTCCCTATCAGATAGCATTGAAAGGTGATAAATTTTACCTGTACCTTTGGACTACACATTGTGAATAGATAATGGTTGGTATGAATAAAAACGAAGTACTTGCTACTACTATAAGTAGTAGTATATTACTTGCTACTACTACAAGTAGTAGTATATTCTACGAAGTATTTACTTCACAAAGGTAGTTTCGAAATGTAGAATCTACTTCGTTTTGAAGTAAATACTACGTAGAACATACTAATACTTGTAGCAGTAGCAAGTACTTCATTTTTATTCATACCACCCAATATAAGCAATTTTTGGTTTTAGGGTCCTTCGGAAAACAATAAACCCCTTAATTTCCGCATGGAAGACCGCGGCTCGGTTTTGTCGATAAAACTATCTTTAGACCGCAAAGTCCTTGCAGTACAAAGAACCAACACTTCGATTGAATTAATGAATTTCAACGGCGACAGCTTAGAGTCAGAGTATTCGATTAGCTGCAAAAAAAACTCGAACATTTTAGGTTTTATTTGGTCCAACTTAAACGAATTGGCAATTGTAACCGATCACGGCATTGAACTTTACACAGTTATCCCCGATAAAAAATCCCTAAAACAACTTAAATCTATTTCTGTAACTGTTCAATGGTTTGTGTGGTGTCCCAAAAATAAAATAGCTATTTTGGCTTCAGCCCATGGGTCCCAATTGCAACCTGTTTCCATTAAACAAGGCTGCATAAATAAATTACACAAAGTAGAAAGTAATATTATTATTAGGACTTTTGTGTGTAATTTGTTTAGTAAAATTTTGTTGTAGCTGAATCAGGTAGAATGGCCTTGGAACGCGATGTAACTTTAGCCACCCTGTACAATGTACCAGCAGTTTTAATTCTGAGACACCAAAGTGGTCCTCAAACTGCTGAAGTGCACGTGCACACGCTTACAGGTCCCGGTTTGGCTCCGGTAAAAGCGCACGTACTCAAACTAGGCCTGGCAGGACGGTTTGCTATAAATGTAGTTGACGATTTGATTTTGGTGCATCATCAGGCTTCCAGGAGCTCGCAAATATTCGATATTTCGTTGCCTGGCGAAAGCGATGGGACTGTTAAATATCATACTATGGTTGCGCCCAGGAGTTCTTTTAAGGCTACTAGTATTAGTTTGCCTGGGTTGGTGGAGCCACAAGCGCATGATTGCGAACTTTGTATCCTTTGTATTGAGTTTAGTATTTTGTCCATCGTTTTTAATTTGACATTTTCCGTATGAGGAGCGAAGGAAGAACTTGCAATCTATTACCAACAAAATAAATGAATGGTCAATATCAATACAAAAAAAAATCCTGGGTGCATCTTAGTAACAGAGACTTGCCTTAATAAGAACATTTTTGATGGTTTGACACGGTATAGTGTATTCTGCCAAGACAGAGAAAATCAAACTGGAGGGGGAGTGTGTTTAATGGATTTTTCATTTTTTTATCGATTACCGTTTTCAATATAGATATAAGCCATTGACAGTTTTCGGTGGGACACCCGGTATATTGAAAAATACAGAGATAGGCGACAAAAAATGACACCATCACCAAGAAACTATTGATCATGTAGTAAGTGGATGTAAAATACTGGCAGGCACGTCATACACAAATAGACACAACATTGTAGTTAAAGTAATACACCAAGCATTGGCCCCTAAATATAGCCTAATCACCACAGAAACACCATATTACCACTACACAACAAAATAATGATGTTTTGTAGAGTAATGCCCGTATTACATCTGTGTATTTATTCATGTAGTTCAGGGTGCCAACATTATTTTGTTTTCCATAATGCTGGTTTATGTTGCGTTTGAAGTTTTTCGGTTGTCACCCTGAACTACATGAATAAATACACGGAAAAATACAGGCATAATGTCAACCCTACATGGGACCACGGGCTATAACCAAATTCAAAACACTGAACCACGGGTTATAACCAGTGGCGTAGCCAGGATTTTGTCTTGGGGGGGGGGGCAAATTTGCAGGAAGCGTCTCTTGCGGCCGTACCGCGACCGCTGCAGGAGGCAAAGCGCCGCAGGCCCGAAATTTTTGGGTGCCACGCCCCTTTTTCAGGTTTCTTTACGCTATTTTTGGGGCTGTTTATCTTAATTTTGAAGAAATATTCATAAAATTTAAGGGTCTTGGGGGGGGCAAATGCCCCCTTGCCCCCCCTGGCTATGCCAGTGGTTATAACAAATAACTGCAACTAAGCAAGAAAACACAAATTTTCCTAATCATAGTCAGCAAATATTGGATATATTGTATAGAGACTTGTATTGGTTTCTTATTCCCATTATCTTCCCAAGTTCTGTTACTAGCTCGGACTGGAAAACCTTTCCTCTATCACTCAACAGTGTTCTGGGGGCTCCGTATATCAATATAATTTTTTCCAAAATAAACTTCGCCATGGGCCTGCCTTTCCATTTGGCAGTGCCGCCGTGATTGCGTAGCGTGACGCATAATCTGTCGCAACTATTATCATAGTTTTGTTATTTGAACTTCTCCTAAATGGACCGAGCAAGTCTATTCCCACTTTATCCATGACGCATCCCACTTTAATCGGCTGAAGGGGCCCAGGAGGTTTCCTGTAAGGGACAGCCCTGTCCCTTCCTTGCTTGGCAATATACGCACCCTTTGATGTATTTTTCAATGTCTTTTAACATTCCATCCCAGAAAAATCGGTTCCGTATTTTGTCTATCGTTTTGCTGAGTCCTAGATGACCACAGGTTGGTGATGCGTGTAATTCCCATAGGATTTCTTCCCTCATTGCCTTCGGTACTACCAGCACCTTATCTAGTCCTTTATGCGTTTTATTCACTTTGTATATCCAATATATATTTTATATACTTTACAAACAATTTTTTCATTCAAAAACTAAAGTGAGTGGAGAGTTGAAATTTTGAGGACTTTTTCCTAAAGGTTAGATGTAAAAAAACACTAAAAACTCCAACCGATCGAGTTATTATTAATGGAGTTATGATTTTTTGAAAATAATGATGTTTCGTAGAGTAAAACTTTACAAACAATTTTTTCACTCAAAAACTGAAGTGAGTGGAGAGTTAAAATTTTGAGGACTTTTTCCTAAAGGTTCAATTCAAAAAATACTGAAAACTCAAAGCGATTGAGTTATTATTAATGGAGTTATGATTTTTTTGAAAATAATGATGTTTTGTACAGTAAGACTTTACAATTTTTTCATTCAAAAAGTAAAGTGAGTGGAGAGTTGAAATTTTAAGGAATTTTTCCTTAAGGTTCAATGTAAAAAATACTAAAAACTCAAAGCAATTGAGTTATTATTAGTGGAGCTTTGATTTTTTGAAAATAATGATGTTTTGTAGAGTAAGACTTTACAATTTTTTCATTCAAAAAGTAAAGTGAGTAGAGAGTTGAAATTTTGAGGACTTTTTCTTAAAGGTTCAATGTAAAAAATACTAAAAACTCAAAGCGATTGAGTTATTATTAATGAAGTTATGATTTTTTGAAAATAATGATGTTTTGTAAAGTAAGACTTTACAAACAATTTTTTCATTTGAAAAGTAAAGTGAGTGGAGAGTTGAGATTTTGAGGACTTTTTCTTTAAGGTTCAATGTAAAAAATACTAAAAACTCAAAGCGATTGAGTTATTATTAATGGTTATGATTTTTTGAAAATAATGATGTTTTGTAGAGTAAGACTTTACAAACAATTTTTTCATTCAAAAAGTAACGTGAGTGGAGAGTTGAAATTTTGAGGACTTTTTCCTTAAGGTTCAATGTAAAAAATACTAAAAACTCAAAGCGATTGAGTTATTATTAATGGAGGTATGATTTTTTGAAAATAATGATGTTTTGTAGAGTAAGACTTTACAAACAATTTTTTCATTCAAAAAGTAACGTGAGTAGAGAGTTGAAATTTTGAGGACTTTTTCCTAAAGGTTCAATGTAAAAAATACTAAAAACTCAAAGCGATTGAGTTATTATTAATGAAGTTATGATTTTTTGAAAATAATGATGTTTTGTAGAGTAAGACTTTACAAACAATTTTTTCATTCAAAAAGTAAAGTGAGTGGAGAGTTGAAATTTTGAGGACTTTTTCCTGAAGGTTTAATGTAAAAAATACCAAAAACTCAAAGCAATTGAGTTATTATTAGTGGAGCTTTGATTTTTTGAAAATAATGATGTTTTGTAGAGTAAGACTTTACAATTTTTTCATTCAAAAAGTAAAGTGAGTAGAGAGTTGAAATTTTGAGGACTTTTTCTTAAAGGTTCAATGTAAAAAATACTAAAAACTCAAAGCGATTGAGTTATTATTAATGAAGTTATGATTTTTTGAAAATAATGATGTTTTGTAAAGTAAGACTTTACAAACAATTTTTTCATTTGAAAAGTAAAGTGAGTGGAGAGTTGAGATTTTGAGGACTTTTTCCTTAAGGTTCAATGTAAAAAATACTAAAAACTCAAAGCGATTGAGTTATTATTAGTGGAGCTTTGATTTTTTGAAAATAATGATGTTTTGTAGAGTAAGACTTTACAATTTTTTCATTCAAAAAGTAAAGTGAGTAGAGAGTTGAAATTTTGAGGACTTTTTCTTAAAGGTTCAATGTAAAAAATACTAAAAACTCAAAGCGATTGAGTTATTATTAATGAAGTTATGATTTTTTGAAAATAATGATGTTTTGTAGAGTAAGACTTTACAAACAATTTTTTCATTCAAAAAGTAAAGTGAGTGGAGAGTTGAAATTTTGAGGACTTTTTCCTGAAGGTTTAATGTAAAAAATACCAAAAACTCAAAGCAATTGAGTTATTATTAGTGGAGCTTTGATTTTTTGAAAATAATGATGTTTTGTAGAGTAAGACTTTACAATTTTTTCATTCAAAAAGTAAAGTGAGTAGAGAGTTGAAATTTTGAGGACTTTTTCTTAAAGGTTCAATGTAAAAAATACTAAAAACTCAAAGCGATTGAGTTATTATTAATGAAGTTATGATTTTTTGAAAATAATGATGTTTTGTAAAGTAAGACTTTACAAACAATTTTTTCATTTGAAAAGTAAAGTGAGTGGAGAGTTGAGATTTTGAGGACTTTTTCCTTAAGGTTCAATGTAAAAAATACTAAAAACTCAAAGCGATTGAGTTATTATTAATGGAGTTATGATTTTTTGAAAATAATGATGTTTTGTAGAGTAAGACTTTACAAACAATTTTTTCATTCAAAAAGTAACGTGAGTAGAGAGTTGAAATTTTGAGGACTTTTTCCTAAAGGTTCAATGTAAAAAATACTAAAAACTCAAAGCGATTGAGTTATTATTAATGAAGTTATGATTTTTTGAAAATAATGATGTTTTGTAGAGTAAGACTTTACAAACAATTTTTTCATTCAAAAAGTAAAGTGAGTGGAGAGTTGAAATTTTGAGGACTTTTTCCTGAAGGTTTAATGTAAAAAATACCAAAAACTCAAAGCGATCGAGTTATTATTAATGGAGTTATGATTTTTTGAAAATAATGATGTTTTGTAGAGTAAGACTTTACAGACAATTTTTTCATATAAAAAGTAAAGTGAGTGGAGAGTTGAAATTTTGAGGACTTTTTCCTTAAGGTTCAATGTAAAAAATACCAAAAACTCAAAGCGATCGAGTTATTATTAATGGAGTTATGATTTTTTGAAAATAATGATGTTTTGTAGAGTAAGACTTTACAAACAATTTTTTCATTTGAAAAGTAAAGTCAGTGGAGAGTTGAAATTTTGAGGACTTTTTCCTTAAGGTTCAATGTAAAAAATACTAAAAACTCAAAGCGATTGAGTTTTTATTAATGGAGTTATGATTTTTTGAAAGTAATGATGTTTTGTAGAGTAAAACTTTACAATTTTTTCATTCAAAAAGTATGAGTGGAGAGTTGAAATTTTGAGGACTTTTTCCTAAAGGTTCAATTTAAAAAATACTAAAAACCCAAAGCGATCGAGTTATTATTAATGAAGTTATGATTTTTTTAAAATAATCTTGTTTTGTAAAGTAATACTCTAAAGCATTAACTCAAAATCTAAAACATCTGCAGCTAGATACAGTCATACATAAGTACATACAGAAAGCCATAATACTAAAAACATGCAATATAACCTGAACTTTCCTCAATGGGGTAGTAATTTCACTGAGTAGACTTGGTACCCACCCATCTGCATAGGGAGAAACCGGTTGAATTTGAGAAAACATTTGAATGATGATAATAATAATAATAATAAGATTGTACAAAACTATGCAGTACACAATCAAGGCTACCCAGAAGTACTACTTTCCTTAACAAAATCCTAGATTCTCCAAATTGGGTTGTCTTCCAACCAAACATAGTCATAGACGCCAAACTAGGTTGTCTCTGGCACATTAACTTAAGCCTATTGCAACTGTGCAACCAAATTAACGATTTAAGCATCTGTACGCAGGTAGCCTTAAAACGAAGCAATGGCAAACCTGTATTATTGAAGCTCCTGCTTAAAACCATCAACCAAAACCAACCGCCTTTAGACAAGCTTCAAGAGGCTTTCAATCACATAAACTTTGTGTATCGCGATTGGGTGGAAATGGAGTTGCAGAGCCAATCAGGCTCGCCACCTAATGCACCTTTCCCCAAAAAAACAATCCCTAGAGTTTTGATTGATCAAAGCACAATGTACGAGGAAATTTTTCAGAAAATGGAAGCGGATTTGAGCAAAACTGAGCGGGTTTTGGTTTGTTATTTGGCCTCTTTGGCTGAATATGGTATTCCAGCGCAATTAAACATTAATACATTAATTGTTAGTACTTTGGTGCGTCAAAATAAGTTTACGGCCTTGCAACAACTTTTACAGTATGGGGTAATATCTGACATGAAACCTTTGGCTTCTCTTTTGGTATCTTTGGGCAATATGCATCCTTCTTCCACTCAAATGGCTTTGGATATGTTGGCTAGATTAAATGCCAGCGAAGAAATTCAAGAAGTAATAATTGTTTGAAAAATGATTCAAGCTTATTTTGAATTGTTTTAGATTTTGTTAAGCGAAGGACAAATTCTTTCGGCTTTGAAAATAGCTAAAGACAAAGCAGATCCGAGGAAATATTTGACTGCGGCTCAGAACAGTGGAGACCCAACCTTATTGCACAGTGTCTTGTATTACTTCAGAAATCATCCAAAATTTTCTATAGTGCTTCAGAACGGTAAGTGTTTGGCCTTTGAATTAATATTTGCTTTAATTTTTTGTTGTTGCCTTACAGATCAGAGACTACATACATTTATAAACGAGTATAACGATATTTTCAGCACTAGTGAAGTATAATAAAACTTCAATATTTTTTATAAAGATACATTTATTATTTGCAACGTGTCCACAATGATAATTAACAAAAAAAAAATATATATATAATCAAATACATCTTACTAATAAAAAGAGTCCCTACTACATTATTTCAATTCAACTAATATGTACAAAAATAAAATAATAATTATTAAAAAACTATTGTCATTTATTCGGAATTTGTGCAAAACCAAAAAGCGTAATAGAGCTAACTGTTTAAAGTTTTCAAAAGCTAATTGAGCAATTGGAAAATATAATTTGCTCACTATAGGGAAAGTATTGAGAGTTATTGGACTAGAATAATATTTTTTTGACGCGAATTTTCACACAAATATTTAGGAGTTAGGTATACATTGAAATAAATAGCTGCCTTAATTTTTGGCACCAAAACGCACAGAACCAACTATTGGTCCCTAATTTTTTGAGTGAAAGAATTGCACAAGAACAAAAAAAAAAAAACTGTACACTTTTGCCTAATAATTATATAAAAACTATACAATTGATGAGCCAATTTAATGTCTGTGTCAGACAAAAATATACAAACAATAAAAATAAAAATCACGTCAATATTATGGCTAACAGTTTTGTGCTGAATTATATAGGTATCAAAAAGCTAGCTAGTTGACGCTATACCCGGCTAGCTACTGAACTAAGGGCAGTTTTGTGAGGACAAAAAAAAAAGAAATCACACTTAAACAGACATTTGTTTAAACTTCAACCGCTTTTTGCTGTGTTTCATACAGAAACCGTTGGCTTTGCGTTACATGTTGTACGCCACGTAAATCGGATCGAGCTGATCGGCCAAAAACCCGTCCCTCAAGTGCATTCGCTGTTTTTCGCCTCTCGAGTTTATCGGTACCACTCCTGGATCCACCACAACAACCACTCCAACGATAAGATGATGGTCTTCCAGTACCGTGTTTGTTACTAGCGGTACCAAATCTAGGGCCTCGCTTTCGTTACCGTCAAGTTCCACTACAACCACTAGCAGGTTTGTCCATGTAAAAACAGCACTAAAAAATAATAAATTGTATAATATATTATTTTTTGTGGCTTTGAGTCTTTACCATTCCGCAATCTTCTTATGGCATCTTAATACGGAATTTTCAATGTCAATAGGGTGATATCGCATGCCTCTAAGCATAATGGTTTCGTCTAAGGCCCCAACTACAAACACTGCGTCGTGTAATTCGGGCGAGTCAGTCGGTACCAAATGGTGCGAGGAACCAACCGATTCGTTGTCGCTTTGATTCAATGTGGTTTCTTCTGGACAGCTAAAAAAGTTTTTGTATTATTATTTGTTGAATTTTTTTTTAAGAAAACGAACCTTTCTATTCCTTCAGTGCGTCGTAAAAATCCTAAATACCCGGTTCTGGCGTACACTTCTCCAGTATTTCCAGTTACTAGACGGGCGTTGAAATGGTCTCCGTACTCGGATTCGTCTCCGTAAATCGTGAAATAGCCGCTGGCGTTGTGGCCGCTTTGTACCCAAATTTCACCCAAGTGCGAGTCACCACATTGACCTGGAAAAATTAAAGGAGTATATTATTTGCATTTGCATCTCTTTCTTTCAGCCTGTTCAAGAAACAGAAAGAAATAAATTTTCTTGGCACTAATTTTTTGACGTTTTTCCTAAAAAGGATTATAATTTATTGCTGGCGGCATCCGAATGCGAATCTTTGAAGTAATAGTTATTTATGTATCAAGGGAATTATGAGGGTGTTATACCCCAGGGCAAAGTTTGCATCCCGAGGGCCTTCGCCTCGAGAGGCACCGATTGCCCGTGGGAATTAATACCTGATAATTCCCGTGGTACATAGATAATTTTATTTCCTTCTGAATTTACTGTATTCGGTTCATTTTTATAAAGGAATAAACAATAAACCAAAATTTCTGTTTTTTTCTCAAAGTTTTACCTATACAAGGTAAAAGCGGGAGTTATGGAAATCCTTAAATCCCGCATGGGAGTTAAGACCCTGTTTATAATAGACCTATCTATTTTTACCTGTATGCGCGCGCAACACGAGGCAATGCATTTTTATTGGCTAACTAGTACAGGTGTGAAGTAATCCTTTTGCATGCTGGGCATCTCCTTGTCCTTGTTCATTGCCCGTAGTCTGACAAGGATAAAATTATGGTTGATATTCAACTTGATGTAGCTTGACAAGTGATCGATTTTCAATTGTTTGTGTTTTTGATTGACAAATAGGTTGGACGTCACGCGGTTCTCCTCCTTCCTTTTTTATCTCGTGCAAATAATAAGAACGGATTGCTATACGTAAGTCTAACATAATTTGGTACGTTTTGCCTCGTCTTGCGCAATAAGCGTTCTACGTCTTTTTCTATCTAATAAAGTTTTCGTATTATTACCTCTTTGTCTGGTAATAATAATAATAATAATAATAATAACATTTATTTCAAAATTGGTATAAAAAAATAACAATTGAAATTACGTCAATAAGCCAATAAAGTCAAAAAAAAATATATAACTAAACATTCATCTGATTATTGAATAAGTATGCTATCAACATTACAAGTACATAAAAAAATAAATCATTATAATTTACATATTCAAGAAATCATCCAAGGTATGTATATGGCTCCAAGTTAATAAGCAATCTTTTGACTTCTCTTTTAAAAGCAGATATACCTTCAATCTGTCTTACTTGTCGTGGCAATGCATTGAATAATTTAACGCACATATACTCTGTACTTTTTTGACTTAATTGGAGGCGATGTCTGGGGTAAGATAAATATTCTGCCCTGGTGTTATACCTTTCAGTTCTTAGCTGTTCAAATAAATTTTTATTTCTTTGTAAAAACATGAGACATTCAAATATGTACAAAGCATATGCAGTTAATATTCCCATCTGTCTGAAAGTATTCCTGCAGGACTGGTTATAGTCCATTTTTTTAATAATTCTTGTGACATATCTAGGAAGTTGCGCACAACAGCGCAACACTGCAGACAAAAAGATTACGTGGGAAGCAACACCACCAAGGAATGACAGTCGGTTTTGGGCCCCTACACGCTATGCGTACACGAAAGAGTCGAAATACCACCTACCACTGAAAAGCTCCCGCTCGCGAAACTCAGCTCTAATGAAACTAATTTTAGTATTAACTAAGTTCTTAATGTAACAATAAATATAGTTAAACAAAAGTAACGCGGCTAATCATTGAACCACTCGAAACACTTCAAATGGCGACGAGGATTTAAACGTGGTTGGCAACGAGCGAGAACGTGGCGCAACGTGGTAAGATAAAAAAAAGCGAAGAACCCCAAAGAGCAAGATGACGGCGACTCCATCAGCAATGTACAGATTCGAGGAATTTAACCCCGACTCCGACGATTGGGTCATTTATAGTGAACGTCTGCAAGAATATTTCGCCGCTAGTGGACTGGAGGAGAGGTTACAGGTATCTACCCTATCAAGTTTAGTAGGTACGACGACGTACGTCCTGCTTAGGGACCTGTGCAATCCAGATCCACCAAACAAAAAATCCTTCAAGCAGTTGAACGAGATATTGGGAAGCCATTTTGGAAAGCTACCAATTGTTTGGCGGGAAAGGAAGAAATTTCAAGATGGACGTCAGGAGTCGGGTGAGTCAGTAGCCGAATTTCATGCTAGATTGTGTAAATTAGCAGTGGACTGTAGATTTGGGGCAAATTTAACGCTTTTTATTAGAGAAAAATTTGTAACTGGTTTGAAATCCGAGAAGATTTTCAATCGATTATGCGAAGAAGATCAAGATGCGGATTTGAAAAAGCTGTTGGACATAGCAAGGAAGGCGGAAAACGTGGCAACGCAGCATTCCCAGTTAGAAGAAGTTAACTTTACCAACGCAGAGAAGCCGATTTTAGAAAGAGTGCGCGTAATGGGCTAAATGGATTTGGAAGAGGACAAAATACGCGACCTTCAGGGGAACCATCCAACGCGCAAGCGATGAACCGTCACAACCAGCAGCGAAATGGGTAGCAGGAATGCGCGCGAATAATACCAATGGCCGGGCATTTCAGAGGAGCCATGTTGGAAATGGACATAATTTTGATAATTCAGGTGGTAAATGGTGTAAAAGTTGTAATAAAAGGCATAAAGGTCAGTGTGTTAAACCTAATAATAATTGTTTTAAATGTAATAAGCCGGGACATTGGGCAAATTCTTGTAAATTTAATAATTTTAATTATGTAAACAATTGTAATGATATTAATTATGACGATAATGATTATGACAAACATAATGATAGTTCCAAAGAAATGTTCCATGTAACAAAAAGTCAACAAGGGCCCAAACCAGACTCATTAAATGTGTGTATGTTAGAAAATGTTTGTCCAAAAGAAAATGTTTGTCGTGAGAATTATGAAATTTTTTGTAGTGGACGTACCAGGGGGGATGAAGGAGCCTCAGGAAGCAGGTTTAATCTGAATTTGAGGGTGGATAGAGCAAATTTGATCTTTCAAATAGATTCGGGAGCTTCAGTTTCTGCCATAAGTGAAAAGATTTTTCGTAATAAATTAAATCACATGAAATTGCAGAAGGATGGTGTTATTTTGAAATCATATGATAATTCAAATTTTAAACCTTTGGGTTTTATTAAAGTTAAGGTGAAATATGAGAATAAAGAGGCTTTCATTAAATTTTATATTGTATCTAATGCAAATGTTTGTATCCTAGGGCGCGACTGGCTGGAGGCATTCAATGTTGGATTTGGAATGATCAACACGGTGTCAAGTGGGGGCATGGGACAGCTTCTGGTTAAAGAGTTTCCAGAGATGTTCACGGACAAAATAGGAAGATTTCGTCATGCAGAAGTGGCTCTACACTTGAATGAGGGTGCAACCCCTATTTTTTGTAAGTCAAGACCCATACCATTTGCATATAAAAAACCTATGGAGGAGGAACTAGTCAGGATGGAAAGAAGTGGCATTATAACACCTGTGGAAACCTCACAATGGGCAACTCCACTGGTGCCAATCCTGAAGGAAGATGGCAATTTGAGGCTATGTGGGGACTATTCAGTGACCGTCGACAGGCATTTGAAGAAATCTACAAATCCTTTGCCCAGGATTGACGAGATTTTCGCCAAATTGCATAGAGGTAAAACATTTTCGAAGTTAGACTTGGCCTCAGCTTATAATCAATTTGTTTTGGATGAAAAATCAAGTAAAATAGCAACTATTTCAACACCTAAGGGACTTTTTCGTATGAATAGATTGCCTTTTGGTTTAACCGTATCAAGTTTCATTTTTCAAAAGCACATTGAAAATGTATTTAAGGGGATGGAGAATGTTTCGTGCTTTCTAGATGACATTCTGGTCACGGGAACATCAGAAAAAGAGCATATAGATACTTTGAGGGCGGTTTGCCAGAGATTAAAAGAGGCTGGGTTGACTTTGAAGATAAATAAATGTGAATTTTTCAAAGAATCAGTATTGTATCTAGGTTTTGAGATTTCCTCAAAGGGTTTAATGAAGTCCGAGGACAAAACTAGAGCTATTAGGGAAGCCCCAGGACCTAAAAATGTAAAAGAGGTTAGAATATTCTTGGGAATAGTCAACTATTATAGCAAGTGCATACCTAATGCATCTAGAATTTTGCACCCAATTTATAACTTGTTGAGAGAGAATGTGAAATTTGATTGGAATAAAAACTGTATGAATGCTTTTGCTGAAATTAAAAATATTATCAGTTCGGATTTGATTCTGATCCATTTTGACCCCAACCTGCCTTTGATACTTACTACAGATGCAAGCCAAACTGGTGTAGCGGCAGTGCTATCACATAGATTGAAAAATGGGGATGAACGACCAATATGTTTTGCGTCCAGAACGTTGGCAGATGCCGAAAAGAGATATCCGACTTGCCATCTGGAAGCGTTGGCAATCTACTGGGCAACCAGCAAATGGTATCAGTACCTGTATGGTAACAAATTTATATTGAGGTCAGATCATAGGCCTTTATTAAGCATATATGGTGAACAAAAGGGCATTCCACAAATGTATGCATCTAGACTCCAGAGATGGGCAGCATATTTGTCTACGTTCCAATACACTATAGAGTATATTAAAGGGTCTAATAATAAAATTTGCGATTTTCTATCTCGTTTTCCTATAAAGTTTGATTCTAGCAATGCCAAGTTTCCAGAAAGAGGGGAATATCTCCATTTTACAACCAAAGGGGACGATTGGCCAGTGAACAACGAGGAAATAAGAAAGGAAACGAAGAAAGACATGAAATTGACCCAAATTGTGAGGTGCGTAGAGACTCAAAAATGGCTAGATAGGATCAGTGACGAAATCAGGCCATTCTATAGCCGAAGAGGTGAGCTGCACGTTAAAAATGATATACTTATGTGGGGGTACCGCATTGTAGTTCCTGCAAAATTACAGCATAAAATTTTATCAGAGTTACATGAAGGCCATTTTGGCATTGTGAAAACAAAAAGCCTTGCCAGATCGTACGTATATTGGCCAAACATAGATAAAGATGTAGAAAGAAAATGTAGTTCATGTATTTTATGT